TGCTTCATGTACCATGTAAATTGTTATAACAACTGCACTGTGACACATCTTTGCCATACACACATCCTCATACATGCTTAATCATACTGATGCATGCCCACAAACCCAGGCACCAATTTATTCACATAAGCATACTACACAAACATAGCATCACTTCTCATCACCTTCACTCTTGCATTCATACTTAGTGCCTATTTCATGTTTTTTAATTATACAGTGGCAAACAAAAATAATTATATGTATGTTAACTGTGTATGTGACAGAATTTTGTTGTCTTTATATAGCCTCTTGCATCTGTACTTTACTGTTTAGTTTGCAGCCAACTCGAGAAGAGTATGTAGCCTGTTTAAAGAATTGCAGTCATCGGTGATGTCCCTCGGCTCACCAACAAGTTTCGGCTTAGAATTCATACCGAATGCACTACGTTCTTTAACATTATACTATATAAAGGGTTCTGGTAGTATAGTCGGGTTCATTCTCGATGAGAGAGAGAGAGAGAGAGAGAGAGAGAGAGAGAGAGAGAGAGAGAGAGAGAGAGAGAGAGAGAGAGAGAGAGAGAGAGAGAGAGAGAGAGAGAGACACACACACACACACACACACACACACACACACACACACACACACAAAGACAGAGACACAGTGACAGTCAGTGGAACCTCAAATAACGAATTTAATCCGTTCCGGCACAGTGATCATCATGTGAAACAGACGTCATACAAAACGAATGTCCCCATTGACAATAATGGAAATCAAATTAATCCGTTCTACCACCGAAAAACATCAATATGATAGTCGATGTTTTAAATAATGGAGCAGCCTACCTTACATACACTGAACAAACCTTTATGACATTTTTCTTTCTTCAAATTTGTTCAATATTTTTTTTTAATTTGTCATATAGCAAAAGATTCGTTCAGTGTTCGGCAGGTAGGCTGCTCCATATTTCTTAAATAAAAACACGAAAAAAATTGAAAAAAACAGAAAAAATGTCAAAAAGGTTCATTTGGTGGTCGGTAGGTAGGCTGCTCCATGTTTCTTCAATAAAAAAACTGAAAAATAAAAAAAACTGTTGAAACAATTTAAAAAACGGACAAATGCCATAAAGGTTCGTTCAGTGTTTGTCGGGAAGGCTGCTCCATTATAGCAATCTTTCTTTGTTTCAATTGTGTTCCATTTGTTTTGTATTTTTCATTTACGTCTCAATAATGGAGCAGCCTACCCAACAAACACTGAACAAACCTTTATGGCATTTGCCTGTTTTTCAAATTGTTTCAACCTTTTTTTTATTTTTTTTATTTAAGAAACATGGAGCAGCCTACCTGCCGACCCCCGAACAAACCTTTTTGACATTTGTTTTGTTTTCCAATTTTTTTTTTTATTTAAAAAACATGGAGCAGCCTACCTGCTGAACACTGAACGAACCTTTTTGACATTTGTTGCATTTCAAAATATTTCATTTCTTTTTTCTACAAAAAAGTCAATGCTTTGCAACATCTCAGTCACCCCTTTATATCCCAGCATCATTAGAATCTTTAAACAAAATCAACATAATTTATTTGCATCGTCGGAGGCGTCTGAGAATGTGCAAGAGGCAGCACGACCCAAGCGTCTGAGAATGTGCAAGCGGCAGCACGACCCAACCATGCGGTATCGTCGTTATTCAAACGAGCGGTCGCCATACGAAACGAATTGTTGGCGATTGGGCCGGTCGTTACCCAAAATGTTCGCCATTCGAGGCGATCGTTATTCGAGGTACCACTGTGTGTGTGTGTGTACTCGCCTATTTGTGCTTGTGGGGGTCGAGCTTTGGCTGTTTGGTCCCGCCTCTCGACTGTCAATCAACTGGTGTACAGATTCCTGAGCCTACTGGGCTCTATCATATCTTCATTTAAAACTGTGTATGGAGTCAGCCCCCACCACATCACTGCCTAATGCATTCCATCCGTTAACTACTCTGACACTGAAAAAGTTCCTTCTAACTTCTCTGTGGCTCATGTGGGTACTCAGTTTCCACCTGTGTCCCCTTGTTCGCGTCCCACCAGTGTTGAATAGTTTATCGTTGTTTACCCAGTCGATTCCTCTGAGGATTTTGTAGGTTGTGATCATGTCTCCCCTTACTCTTCTGTCTTCCAGTGTCGTAAGGTGCATTTCCCGCAGCATTTCCTCGTAACTCATGCCTCTTAGTTCTGGGACTAGTCTAGTGGCATACCTTTGGACTTTTTCCAGCTTCGTCTTGTGCTTGACAAGGTACGGGCTCCATGCTGGGGCCGCATACTCCAGGATTGGTCTTACATATGTGGTGTACAAGATTCTGAATGATTCCTTACACAGGTTCCTGAACGCTGTTCTGATGTTAGCCAGCCTCGCATATGCCGCAGACGGTATTCTTTTTATGTGGGCTTCAGGAGACAGGTTTGGTGTGATATCAACTCCTAGATCTTTCTCTCTGTTCGTTTCATTAAGTACTTCACCTCCTATTCTGTATCCTGTGTCTGGCCTCCTATTTCCATTGCCTAGTTTCATTACTTTGCATTTACTTGGGTTGAACTTCAACAGCCATTTGTTGGACCATTCACTCAGTCTGTCTAGGTCGTCTTGTAGCCTCCTACTATCGTCCTCAGTTTCAATCATCCTCGTAATTTTTGCATCATCGGCAAACATTGAGAGAAACGATTCTATACCCTCTGGGAGATCATTTACATATATCAGAAACAGTATAGGTCCAAGGACTGACCCCTGCGGGACTCCACTCGTAACGTCTCGCCAATCTGAGACCTCACCCCTCACACTGACTCGTTGTCTCCTGGTGCCTGTATCCAACGGAGTACCTTCCCTTTCACTCCAGCCTGCATCTCTAGCTTTTTCACTAGCCTCTTGTGTGGCACTGTATCAAAGGCTTTCTGACAATCCAAAAATAAGCAGTCTGCCCACCCTTCTCTTTCTTGCCTTATTTTTGTTGCCTGGTCGTAGAATTCAAGTAACCCTGTGAGGCAGGACCTGCCATCCCTGAATCCATGTTGATGCTGTGTTACAAAGTTCTTTCGCTCCAGGTGCTCCACTAGCTTTCTTCGCACAATCTTCTCCATCAGTTTGCATGGTATGCAGGTTAGGGACACTGGCCTGTAATTCAGTGCCTCCTGTCTATCCCCTTTCTTGTATATCGGGACTACGTTAGCTGCTTTCCAAATTTCTGGCAGTTCCCCTGTTGCCAGTGATTTGTTATACACTATGGAGAGTGGGAGGCACAGTTCTTCTGCTCCTTCCTTTAGTATCCAAGAGGAGATTCCATCTGGGCCTACGGCCTTTGTCACATCCAACTCTAGTAAACACTTCCTTACTTCCCCGCTGGTAATCTCAAACTCTTCCAGTGGTTCCTGGTTAGCTATTCCCTCTCTTATCTCTGTGATTTCTCCTTGCTCTAAGGTGAAGACCTCTTGGAATTTTTTATTCAGTTCCTCACACACTTCCTTGTCGTTTGTAGTGAATCCTTCTGCCCCTATCCTTAATTTCATAACCTGTTCCTTTACTGTTGTTTTTCTCCTGATGTGGCTATGCAGCAATTTAGGCTGAGTCTTTGCCTTGCTTGCGATGTCATTTTCGTATTGTCTTTCTGCCTCTCTTCTCATCCGACATATTCATTCCTGGCATTCTGGTATCTTTCTCTGCTCTCCAGTGTCCTGTTATTCCTATAGTTTCTCCATGCCCTTTTACTTTGCTGCTTAGCTAGCCTACATCTCTGATTAAACCATGGGTTTCTCATCTTCATTTCACTGTTTTCCTTTTGGGCTGGGACAAACTTGTTTGCTGCGTCCTTGCATTTTTGCGTGATGTAGTCCATCATATCTTGGGCCGTCTTTTCCCTGAGCTCTGTTTCCCATGCTATATCTGTTAGGAATTTTCTTATCTCCTCATAGTTTCCCTTTCGGTATGCTAACCTTTTGGTTTCGGTATCCCTCCTCGAGTTCAATAACCCTTCTTCAATCAGGTACTCAAACACCAATACACTGTGGTCGCTCATTCCTACTGGGGCCTCAAAACCGATTTCTCTTATGTCAGAGTCGTTCAGGGTGAAGACCAGGTCGAGTCTCGCTGGTTCGTCATTTCCTCTCATCCTTGTGGGTTCTCTGACATGCTGGGTTAAGAAGTTTCTAGTCACCACCTCCAGTAGTTTGGCTCTCCACGTATCCTCGCCTCCATGCGGTTCCTTGTTCTCCCAATCAATCCTTCCGTGATTGAAGTCCCCTATGATGAGCAGGTGGGATCTATTTCTACAGGCAGCAGAGGCTGCCCTCTCAATTATAGTGTTAACTGCCATGTTGTTGTTTTCGTACTCTTGACTGGGTCTTCTGTCATTTATGTGTGTGTGTGTGTGTGTGTGTGTGTGTGTGTGTGTGTGTGTGTGTGTGTGTGTGTGTGTGTGTGTGTGTGTGTATATATATATATATATATATATATATATATATATATATATATATATATATATATATATATATATATATATATATATATATATATATATATATATATATATATTTATATATATAATGTCGTACCTAGTAGCCAGAACGCACTTCTCAGCCTACTATGCAAGGCCCGATTTGCCTAATAAGCCAAGTGTTCCTGAATTAATATATTTTCTCTAATTTTTTTCTTATGAAATGATAAAGCTACCCATTTCACTATGTATGAGGTCAATTTTTTTTTATTGGAGTTAAAATTAACGTAGATATATGACCAAACCTAACCAACCCTACCTAACCTATCTTTATAGGTTAGGGAGGTTAGGTAGCCGAAAAAGTTAGGTTAGGTTTGGTTAGGTAGGTTAGGTAGTCGAAAAAACATTAATTCATGAAAACTTGGCTTATTAGGCAAATCGGGCCTTGCATAGTAGGCTGAGAAGTGCGTTCTGGCTACTAGGTATGACATATATATATATATATTATATAATTTTATTTATTTTATATAATTCGCAATATAAAAATAGTTGATTTGGTGTAATTCTAGATTTTCAGCCAATGAAAATGGAAAATGGTAGTTTGTCTGGGGCAAACACATCAAGCATGTCACGTCAGAACAGCAGTGGAGGGTCGTGGTCATCACGTGGCTGGGAGTCTCTTTCCACCGAGCCAGAGACCGACAGCTATTTCCCCAGCTGGCGACAATATCGTGTTCCAGTTGCCTCTAGGTGAGTCAGAATCCAACACTTCCTTTGCAGGTAACAGTACTGCCACAAGGTGACCCAGAGCTTAACAGCTGCTCTGAAGCAGACTAATGTGCCACTCCCAGGTGAGCTAGATTTCAACAGCTCCTTCCCAATAGGTGACAGTGGCACCACGGGGTTTATTTTTCAGACTAATGCCTATTCTCGTAACTCTTTCCAGAGAAGTAAATGGTTCTGATTATTTGTTGTAATGTACATATTAATTTTATTAAGGTAGTGATTGGAATTTATTAATTAAATAAATATGATTGCTATTATTAGATTAGTATTAAAATTAATATTATTATATATAGACGTACTGAATAAAAACAGCATTTAATGAAATGCCAATTTCTGGGCGAGCCCCTTTGGCTCCATGAAGCTACTATACTGATATACAATATTGCCAAACTACTAGGTGCCATCAGAGTTCTTTTAGGCCTACCAGGGGTCATGAGCCAGAACCTGGCCCCCTTCTAGATAGGCACAGGGAGCAGAGGCACTTATGATCAAATTTCTTTGAATTTATTATGTCTGCCACCACCAGGGAAGGCATGAAGAAAGTCAGTAAAACAAAACAGACTACTGCTGGTTATAAGTGAGACTGCAGCCTCAAAACCACCAAAAGGACTTCCCCAAAAAAGTCATGATAGAAAATTCATGAAACTTGTTCGCCCCCACCTATGCTCTTTGTCAGGTGTCAGCAACCCAGCTGTTAGCATAGCAAACAAAGCATATTCGTTGGCATGTACAGTATCAATGCCGACAAACACCCCTTCAAACTTGCAAATAGTGTGGCTCGATGAGTCAATCCATTACAAGCTGTGCCACAAACCTGCAGCGTAGTTACCAAAGCCTGAAAGAGTGGCCAAGCATAACATCCAGGCCCTGGAGATGCTTGCTGATGCCACCAAATGCAGCCTACAGGATAAACACAGCCACAAAACAGCATCAGTGGCATCCTGTATGAACAAGCATGCGATGCTCTAGGAGAACCTCAAAACAAAAATACCCTCAAACATCCCCAACAATGGGGTCCCACAGAGAATAGAAAATCCTGCATTGCCATGGACATGGCTCTCCACCCAGGTGGCCTGGCCTCTCGGGCAAACTCCCAAACACACCAGAGAAGTTTCTGTCAGTGCAGGGGCAATGCTTGTTACCTGCTTGATGGGGTTCTGGGAGTTTTTCTACTCCAATAGCCTGGCCTGAGGCCAGGCTTGAGTTGTGAGAGCTTGGTCCAACAAGCTGTTGCTTGGAGTGGCCAATAGCCCACTTAGGGGGGCCACGAGTGGACAGCGCTCGTGATTCATAGTCCTAGGGACCGGGGATCAATCCCCGGCGATGGCGGGAAACAAATGGGCAGAGTTTCTTTCACCCCTGATGCCACTGTTCACCTAGCAGTAAATAGGTACCTGGGAGTTAGACAGCTGCTACAGACTGCTTCCTGGGGGGAAGGGGTGGGTGTGTGTGTGTGTGTGTGTGTGTGTGTGTGTGTGTGTGTGTGTGTGTGTGTGTGTGTGTGTGTGTGTGTGTGTGTGTGTGTGTGTGTGTGTGTGTGAAACTGAAAAGTTTAGGAGGGCCGAAAGACCCAGAGCTCAACTAGTTTGAATACAATTAGGTGAATACTTAGCTGGAAAAAATTCAGAGGTATGCCACTAGGCTAGTCCCAGAACTAAGAGGCATGAGTTACAAGGAAAGGCTGCATGAAATGCACCTCATGACACTGGAAGACAGAAGAGTAAGGGGAAACATGATCACTAGCTACAAAATTCTCAGAGGAATTGACAAGGTAGATAAGGATATACAGTGGCACCTCGACTTACGATTGCCCCGACTTACAATAATTTCGAGTTACGATGTAAATTTGATTGAAAAATGCGACTCGACTTACGATATTTATTGGTACAAGTTTGGGTCGACCGAGCGTGTGGTTCCTGGTTACGTGGGCCAACCTGCCCGCTTAGTGACGATCACGCCTAAAAGAAATTCCGTTTTTATCGTGATTTTTTTTTTGCTTTTTGAACATTAAACTGATTATTATATATCATGCCATGGGTCCCAAGAAAGTCAGTGGTAAGGTTCAACATATGAAAAGACATGCAAGAATGACCATAGAGGAAAAACAAGAGGTCATATGTAAACATGAAAATGCTACTAGTGTTGTTGAACTAGCTAGGCAGTACAATAAATCTTCAGAGGAGGCGGTGGTGGCATTAGAGGATGTCCCTTCCTCATTAATTATGAAAGTGTGTGCAGTATGGGAAGGACTGCAAAGTTTTGCTGAAAAGAATCACCCAGATAAAGCTGTAATAGCCCGTTGCATTGATCATTTTAATGACAATGTGATGCCTCACTACAGACAAGTGTTGGAAAAAAGGGAAAAACCAATCTTCAATGGAATGATTTCTAGTGAGAAAATAAAGCAGTGAGCCAGGAGCAGGTCCCAGTGGTATCCAGGCAAAACGTGCCAGAGTGTGTACCCCAAAGAAGTCCTCGCTGCCTGATGTTATAATGGAAGGAGACTCCCCTTCCAAACAGTAACACCTCTCCTCCCCCTCTTCACCATCTTCCATATGCAAACAAAAGTCCTCCATAAAGGTAAGAAAAACATATGTACTGTATTGTAGTTAGAGAAAAAAAATTGTATTCAGTATAAAATGTATTTGTAAGTTAATATTTTGGAGGGTGGGGAACGGATTAATTCAATTCCCTTTATTTCTTATGGGAAAAATAGCTTCGACTTACGATCCATCCCTGGGAACGGATTACCATCGTAAATCGAGGTCCCATTGTACCATTTAACACGGGTAGTATACAAACAAGGGGACACAGGTGGAAACCGGGTACCCAAATGAACCACAGAAATGTTAGGAAGAAATTTTTCAGTGTTAGTAGTTAACAGAGAGAATGCATAAGGAAGTGATGAGGTGGAGGCAGACTCCATACACAGTTTCAAATGTAGCTACGATAGAGCCCAGTAGGCTCAGGAATATGTATGACAGTTGAGAGGCGGGACCAAAGAACCAGAGCTCAACTAGGCGAGAACATATCCACCACAGCCCAGTTGGTCCAGCACTTCTTGAAGATGTCCTCGGTTACTCCTGCAATATTACTTATACTCGCTTCGACCGAACTTCTTATAGTTCTGAACAAATCATTTGGGTTTGAATGAATTGTTAGCAGAGTCACTTACCTGTTTCAGTGCTTCAGTTTCTGTGGACCTTGTAGTTGTTTGTATTGCTTTGCTTACTTTCTGGATGCTTTCACTGTGTGGGTGATTGTAACAATCCCCAGTTCCCCGTGGCTATGTGAGTGGGGCCAGATTCTTGCTCTGGTCTCTAGTAGGCCAAACAACTCCTATGGCTGATGTGACGCAGTAGGGAGACTCCCTCTCAGTGAGATGGCTTCAGGGAGCCACCAGACTTTTCTAAAATGACTGTATATGTAAAATTAAATTTTCTCCCTTGTTACCTAGAAATCAATAATATAAAAAATCAATAGAGTACCTTACAACAGGGTCAAGTTCTGGCATACTTACTACCTCCCTGATATTTGCTTTTTTTTCTGTACCATTTTAACTCGCATATGTGTGAAGTCTTCTGTTTTAAGACAAGGCTGAAAGTTACTCAAATATGAAGGCAGAGTGCGTAGTAGTGACAGGCGAAGAAAGCCTTAGCAGTATGCAAATCATTTTTATTACAGTATTTATGATTAAGTGAAGCTACAGTACTTTGTTCTAAGTGTGCCAGAGAAGGATACAAGATGGAGCATTGCATTACAATCTGGTTTCACAGCATTATGATCAAAGTATAAATAGTTAAGTACTTTCTACATGGCCACCTGAAGACAATGAGAAGACTTGTCACAGTAAGAAAGTAGTCTACATTAAGGGGGCATATTCATGTAAAATTAAAAGTTGTTCAATTTGCTTATAAATTTTTTTATGAAATGGTTATAGAAAGGGCTGCAGCTGGTCCAAGTTTCATCATCACACCCTAAACAGAAAAGGAGAAAAAAAATAAACAACGAATTATGCAACGAATTTTCAAATAGTTTCAGGGAACACATGTGTCAACTAAAATCATTTCCATAACACTCAGATATTAGATTTAGCACATAATAAAGGAGTCTAGTGATCAGTTTTATCAAAAAAGTGTTTAGTGCAATAATATAATTATTCATAGTTACCCTTCTAAAAAAATATGCAATATATGATATTTATAAATTTTTATAAAATCAACAAATAGACTATGGACTAATATGTCTACTAGAGTCTGTAGAAGCACAAATGCTACATATAAGGTGTAATTTGCATGTAAATTGAATAATAAATGAAAGCTCTGAAGTACTTTGAAGGTGTAAATTACTTTCCAGAGTAAAATAAAGATCCAAGTTCGGCCACCTGTAGCTGAGCTTGACTTCGACAGATTTCGTTCATAATTGGCACCCTTGCAGATAGGCATCCATTGAGCAAGGTGTGTAAGTTTCATGCAAATCCCTTGATAACAAACGAGAAAAAAAATTGGCAAAAAAAAAAAATTTTTTAAATATAAATATATTGAACATACATATTACAATTATTACAAGAGTTTGTGCTTCTACAGCACATAGTAGACATTTTAGTTGACACATGTGTTCCCTGAGATTATTTGAGAATGTTGAACATTCGTTGCATAATACGTTGTGTATTTTTTTTCTCCTTTTCTGTTTAGGGTGTGATGGTGAAACTTGGACCAGTTGCAGCCCTTTCTATAACCATTTCATAAATAAATTTATAAGCAAATTGAACAACTTTTAATTTATAACGTTTTAAGTTAATATGCCCTCTTAAAGTTAAATTGCATTAAAAGTAAGAGTATTTGATGAGGCTACTAAGTGTTGGTAGTTTTATTTACAAGTCGGTTTCATTAATTGTTGTTGCTCATTAGAATTTCACTTTTTATGTACGGTTATCTATAGTATTGCAAATTTTATCTACAACTGCAAATTCATTTTCTCGAAGTAAAGTTGTGCAGTAGGCCTGTATATGTACATCATAATATTAGGAGAAATATTATTGTATAATAATCTTAATTCAAATTCAGTTTAATACAAAATGAACACTAACTAATTTATTTTTATAATTTACAGCATTTTCTCTGTAAATTCAGTAGTTCAAATTAAAACATTACGAAATTGTCTATCCAAGTATTTCCTTTGATAGTCAGCAACGACTAATTCGTTACTTATACCAATGACATTTAAGTGCATTGTATAATGAATAAGAATAGCATTACTAATAGTACAGCTAAGCCTCTTAAAATATTAATAATGCTTTTGATTACTGTATTACACTTTGTTACACAGTGAACATGAAAATGTCTGGCATCAACAGGCCAGTCGGGTGAATTGTAGCCTTATAGTACTGTATAGTACAAGCAACTATACAGTATTTTTAAAAAGCCTTTATTTTTGTTTTGTTAATGATTTCAATACAGCATTTGTGAGGAAACCTGAAGCCATGGAAATACAATACAGTAGTACTAATGCAAGTCTCTGGGGGATCAACTACACAAGTTTTACTGTTATAGGTCAACGAATCACAACACTGCTGTACTCACATTGAAGAAATATTCAAGTTTATTGATAGTAACATTTTGGTAATTATATTGTCTTAGAAATATTTCCAAGGTATTTGATGAGTAACCAGTTATTATTAAGTAACAAAAAAAAAAAAAAAAATTCACGACATAAAAAGTTTTTCTTATGTCGTGAATTTACTGTCTACACATTTGTTGTAGTTCATTTAGTGTTATGCTGCAAAATCTGGTACATAAATTGATAATATTGGGTAGTTTTCCAACCATTAGTAGCTTGCACCTTGCCACAGAGCTAGTAAAAAATCAAATGGGATTCTTTTTTTCTACAGAAATGCTGGCAGAGGGTACCGCCCACTGCTGTTGAAGACATCAACTTTCTCTGAAAGTGATGAGTCTACTTGAGCACCGCAGCCATCTGGATCATTGCCACTCTTATGAAACCACTTTAGTAGAAATGTGGAGTAATAATTGTGATGATAGTATGGTAGTGTTAACTTTATTTATAATAATTATAATAATCTTTGTCCTGGAATGTTTTCCCTTTAAAATGTTTAACAAAGTACTAGACAGACCATTTAAATGCGAGGTATCGGGAAATACATTCACATGTACATCCAAAAGTCAACTGTAGCTAAAAATGTTTCCATGTCCTTAACTTGGGGTTGAGAACCTTATATAAACTCACATTATTTCTAAATCATCTGTTCTTTCCCATTACAGTATACATATATTTATGGATAATAAATCATCTTTACTTAAAAATAATGGCATTAAATGATAACATTTAAACATTAACAAGTGATTTGCTATTCCTATTAAATGTATCACAGTACAGTACTATAATTTTGTTCAAAAAATTATTATATAATAATTTGTTGCTAGTCAAAATATATTTCATGTATTACTATCTGATTAAAGATTAAAATGAGCATATATATATATGTTGTACTCAAACAGATTATGCTTGCTTTATAAATGAAAATGTGTGTGTTGTAACAGACTTGCTCCCATACTCAAAGGAATACTGTATTAAGTAATTGAAAAATTAGGAATATTGAAATATTTCCTCTTCAGTCAGTATGAAGCTAAACTTTTAAAACTTGGGAAATTTATTAAAAAGAAACTTTTACACCCTGGAATAAATGAGGTTTATTTTGAATAAAACAGCTTTGTACGCACAGACCAACGAAGTTTTGATCGAGGATCTTCTCCAGGAGCTTTGAACTTATCCCAATGTGCCTTGTAGAAATGATATAAAGTAACTGGATCAGGCCGACTAGGGTACTCTGGCAAGCCATCTGAAAAGAGCAAAATTTTACTAATTTATTGAATAAGTCTTCAGACAATATACTATCCACATTGCAGAAAAAAATATGGAATGCAGTACAGTAATGTACTGGTACTTTGATTACATGAATATATGAGTATGTGGATGTTCTGAATGGCAATAATAAAAAATGAGCCTTGAGAATTATATAATGGGCATGCAATAAATGTAAATGATGATGACTTCAAATGTGTTCAATAAAAGGAAGACCTGTTGAATATAAACTTGTCAAGGATATAGGTATAAACAAGTACCATAGAATGACACTTGGAAAATTGCGAATGTGTGATACTTTTGCGAGATTTAAGTTGTTGGCATGTAGGTGAAGGCTTCTCCCGAGGTTGAGAGCCAAAAGAATATAAGTTACAAAAATAACTTAAGATGAACTATGCTCTTTTTATCACTTAAGGGTTGATCCTGCAGGTGGCACAGTACGGGGTCATTAGGTAACATGGGCCCCATACCCAGGTCTGCTCCCTCTTTAACTGCTTTTCTTAAGCTGGTCTACTTGGATGCATCATTTCACAGTACTTAGCAGTGAGGATTCTTATAGTACAGTATTGTATTTTCAGTGAGTGAGACCAAGTGGTGTGAAGCCATCTTTTCACATATCTGACATTATAGTTTATAACTGTTGCAGCAAAGTCAATCATTGATCTTTATGTATTTTTCTTTTGAACACATTTACCAAACACATCGGTGCAATGGCTTTTTAGCTTTTAGATTATTTTATCTACTAGGCTTTCACGTTTTATCTGCTAGGATATCTACTTTTTACCTGGGAAAATCATTTAGCGCCACATTGTTTTATAATTACAGCTGTGTTCTGCATTCAGACAAGGAAAAAAAGGGGTATTGATACTTATAGTGGAGACATGGAAGCAAGTTTGTTTAAATGTGGATGAACTGAGCAAGATGGAGCAGATGATAGCATTAAGTAATAACTGTAAAAAGTAATAAGGATTTGCAAACAATAAGTGCATCTGGCTAATGCTGTAAATACTTCTCTTCTGTCGAAATACCACTCGGAATACCAGGAAGTAAAATTATTGTGGAATATTATAAAATAGGGAAATGCATGCTTTTATGGACTCGTATCATATGCCAAACCAGATCTAAAGAAGAACCGAGAGATACCAACACAGTTATTTTAGTACAAGGGTCAGTTTCAAGAATGGAAAATTGATAATGATGATGTTAAATGGATATCAGTTCAGTTTTGGCCCCCCTTATAGAGATTTGAATTAGTTCTAAAACCAGCATAGCCAACAGTGGGCTACACTGTCCAATTTCACCATGCACCTCCAATACATTTTAACAGTGTGCATCTCTCAAATTTCAAGTGAAGACAAAGATGTTCTCCGAATTTTGCCTAATATTGCACCCTAAAAATAAAAAAGGTACTAAAATGTTTACAGGGACCTTATCAGTGTAAACTTACCTTTATGTTTTGCCATCCCAGCAACCTTTTGCTTTCTAAGATCCTGGTTCACTTTATTCCCATTTGATTGTCCTCTTGATTGATCATCTGTTGGTCTTTGCAATGTGACTTGTGAATCTACAACTGGCCCTGTTGGCATCCTGTGTGTATCAACATGTGTGTGTCTGAATGTTCTACCTCTATTTTCAATTTTATTTTTTTGTAGTAGACCAGAATACGATTTAATCTTTTCCTTAGACATTCTGGCTCCTGTAGTACTATCACTTGGAGAATACATGGCTGAAGAAGAGTCGCTCTTCTCTCTTTCTGATACAGATGTAGCTGATGCTCTACTATCAAAGTCAGAATATCCACTTTCTTCAGCATCTTCATTTGCATTATTTCTTGACTGAGACAGAGAACTCCCAAATGGCCTGAAAAAGATGGTTATATACAAAAGTAAATGAAAACATGAAATATGGTTAATTTATAATATAAATTTAACATATTTAATACTTTTCCATAATCGAGGACCTTATGCAGAAAAATTTATAATAGCTTGGGCACTGTTTCTGTACATCCTCCTGTATTAACATTCTTTGTATATGTTTCCTCTCATACCTCCACTTCACTCCTCTAATATACTACAACTCTACTTACTACATAAAATATTACATTTGCAAATCGTGTGAAGTTCATTATGCCTGTATTACACTCAGATTTATGTTATTAAGTATAGATGCACCAAATAATCCGCCCCATGCATGGGACCAGCACATTTAGTCTTACTGAAAGTGATGTAGGTTTTTGTATTATTAGGTTAATCTATTGGACGAGCAAACCTTAGGTAACATGGCTATATTTTCTCCATCAGGAGGTTTAGGCCAGAAGACAATTAGGAAATGAAGGCTATCGATATTCACAATTACACTCGTCATTTTATCATATCTTCCACCACCACATTAATCATCTTTGAGAGCTATCACTATCAAACCTCAGCTGCATTGCAATGCTTTACAAGATTGGGCATTTGATGCCCATTAGTTTTATCCTATACAGACATTCACAGTTTTTCATAAATTGCTTCAAATTAGCTATGCCTTTCTACTGCTCTTTTCGTCCTACCAACACTCAATCCCAGATTCTTCAAACACGATAACCATATCTGAACATCTTTGTCACCCTTTAATGCTCCAACCCTAAAATTTATATAAAATATTCTCCTAAACAATCTAACAATCCATTTGTTCGACTATTTAATTGAATAAATTATATTTAGTTATTGTAAATTTTAACTAAAATTATGCACATTCAACATCAATTTGCCTGTTCTTGTAACACTAGAAACTTACAATATTCAGTCAACACAAATGTTCTGAAAATCATCAGTTTCCACAACTCAAATCATCAATATTTTCCTATGCTAATGCCACAATTTGTGCAGAGCATTTGTACATTCCCACAAAAACTGGACCAATCAAACTTAAAGGTATATAGGAAAATAGTGTTAGGTTCCAGTAACCATCAATAGTCCAAAAGTTTTCCCTATTCTTTACTTGACAAAACAACCAATTTTGACATTAATTAATTAACCCTCCACCATTCAGCCACAAATTCAGCACAAAATCAAGTCAACCAACATGAGGATTAGTGCAGATTAACCCTCAATATGTGGTCATTGTCATTTGTGGATTAACTGGGCCACTGCAGTTATTGTCATAAGACATTGTTATTAATGCCTAGTTTCTATACTAAAGATATGGATGTAGTGGAGTTCACACAGACCCAAGAATTTGTTTTACTATTTTGTAAATTGTGCTTAATACTCAATGAGGTTTTCATGTACTACAGGTCTGCACTTATCAAATTACTACTAAGTATTTTCCACAAGCATTTGAAACCATACCTGGATGACATTCCCAGATAGAAGGCCAGCAGATGAGTGGGTTGCAAGACGCTTCTTTTCACTACACCATTAACAGATTTGGGTGATATAGATGTATATATTACATTGTAGGCAAGTAATATAATACTCATTAACTGTATTGGTCAATTACACTATGTGTACATGAACTGACTTTACAGCAAAAAACACTAAATTGTGTAAACTAATCAGTGAAACAAAAAAAAATCCAAGGTGATGGCATGGAAACCGCTCTTAGTGTGGTGGTAATTACCACAATGACCCCGCCACCAAAAATCTTCCTAGAGCTCTCATTCACTCACTCACAAAACCATAAGATGTACTTACCTAGTTGTGCTTGCGGGGGTTGAGCTTTGGCTCTTTGGTCCCGAATGATGTAGATATCATCATTTGCAAGTCACACACTCACGCTAGTAAAACCAATCATGTCCTCTGCTTTCATTACTTCCACTCACTAGATATACAAAGAATATTCCTCATTTAAATTCTAATATATTTTTCCCACCAGTTAACATTCTCCCACACTTTTCTTAAATAACCCCTTTAAATGTTTTGTTAAATCTCCTTCTTGCACTTTCTTCTTTCCAAATTAATTTAAATACTTTGACAAATTTCATTTAGTTTTTCTTGCAAGCACTTCATTCACTCTCATTCTTATGATTTAAACTTTTCACATACCTTTTATTCAAATCATGCTTCTGTTTTCTTGCCTCACTTTCCCCTTCACTTTGTATTCACATAATCCCTTCCTCTTTGTAATTAACATGTGCTCTTGCAATGTCCTCATCGCAAAGAGCACTTCCTCTCGCTCAACTACAGGTCTACACCATGCAGTGGTTGGGTTGCCACATCACTATCCCCAGTTTCTTGAACTGCAAATTTGTACTTTTAATCAAAGGTACTAGATCATCATATCATGCAATTATATAGACTTGTAACCAATTTTTATAATTAGCAATGGCTGGTTTTCATATACCACTTATAAATAGAAGCATGGAATACATGGTATAAATACAGAGAAAAATAAATGCATTGCAATATTATATACATACAGTACATAAAAAAAATGCATTGAAATACCCTTTTCTAGGTGCACCCCTGAAGCTTCCTGAAGCTCTCACCAAGATCAAATATAAATTTAAATGAAATAAGTTTATTGAGGTATAAATACACACAAAGATACGAGGTAAGTCCATCAATTCTCATTCTGTTTAGTACGTGTTCACACACACAATATTTTATTTATATATATATAATAATATATATAAATATATATATACTGTATATATATTATATATCTCGGATTGGCCTCATCAGTCACACCAGACGCGGCACCAGGATTGACAACTAGGGCGCAACTCCATAGTCTCCCGAGACTGGTGGACGACGACGACGACGACGAATAATCTCCAAGAGATTATTTGTATTTGAAGTACATGGGTGAAGCATTTAAAGCATTGTGGTTCGAATAGAGGTCATCAGTGAGATAGTGATCATGAACAGAGCCATTCCAGGAAGAGGTTTGTGAAAGAAAGGCGTGAAAAGGAGATCTAAGTAGTATACAAGAGAAGAACAAGCGAGTGAGACTAACACCCTGTAAATTTCAGGCTGTATTTGACAATTTGTCGGAGTTATCTAGTGAGGAATGTGTTGTTGATACTGACACTGATGAAGTTAGTGAGTGTATTGAAACAGAGATGGCCAAGGAGGATTTTGGTAGTGATGGAAGTCTGACCCCCACGCCCGAATAACAGCCCAGGACTTATTTGCAAAGACAACCGATAGCACAATATTTCTGAACGCCTCAAATTCTTTCAGTGTTTGTCTTCATATACAGTGAGTGGACACAAAAATTATTTAAAACTTCTCTACCAGCACTAAATACTAACATTCAGTATTCTCTATTTGCATACAGTCTTGAACACAGCTTCAGTACCTATTTGAACATACAAATCCAAGATATTATAGTGTATAATAATGGTCAAGAAAATTACATTAAATATCATCAGTCTAATAACAAATTGCTTCAATATCAAATACCATATGGTATTACACCCATGCATAGATTCATTACCCTCTGTACTGTACCTGACTGAAGACTTCCAAGTAGATGGCATTTGTTGTTCAGGAGGAATTGGTGTAGAAGTATCTGGTAATGGCATCCTTATATTTAATTTGCTTGGTATGGCAGGAGTTTCATCATGGCTAACAGAGTCGTGCAAGTCTCTGGACTGACACCTTTGCTGTTTAACTTTGCGGAGATCATTCTTGATCAATTTTAGAAGATCTGCAAAATAGTTTTTATGGTTAGTATGCATTAGATGTTTAAATATGTACACACTTGCATATCTGTGTGTGTGCAGGAACAGGCTCTAGCACCAGGGATCTACCTCTTAACCACTCATTTTTTTGTTTAATAGGACAATACACAGGCAAAACTGACCACCCTGGGGAATAGTGTTGAATGTAATGAAACATCAATTTCTGGGCAAGCCCCAGTGGTTTCCTGAAGATACTATCCCTGATAGTGTACCACCTACTAGAATGCATCAGCTGCAAAGTTCTATAGGTCTACCTGGGACCAGTGCCAGAATCTGCCCCCCCACTCACAGAGGCACAAAAAGCAGTGGCATTTACTGATTGCTCTCATTTATCTGGATTATATGAGAAATCTCTCTCACTGGATAAGCTGAACGTCCAAATAAGCAGGAATTCTTACCAGGAAAGTCCAAAAATAAACACATTAGTAATTTTTGTGCCACAACCAACATAATTCATATGTCCACACACACACACACACACATTACATGGTTAGAGAAAGATTGAAAGAATTTAGTGACAACAGAAATTTCATCTTACCTAGTTGGAGTTCATCTGCTTAATTGATGTTTAAAGGTTTCAGTGTTATTTACCTAACCTCACCTAACACAACACTAAAATTATGTACATAAGCTTTGCATTCCCTTATATCACAGACCATACTCATGCCTATACTAACATCCTTCACAGCACTCTTAACACTTTCGCCCGGGCATGACGCAGCATTGCGTCATCCGTTTACTGGCGGTAATTCCGGGGATGACGCAGCATTGCGTCATCCACTTTAAATAATCGCCAAAAATCAGGTTTTTATCCGATTTTTTTGGGACTGGTTTTAAAATGCGCGCCGATGTCTTCCCATTTTCTGTTGAGCCTCGTGGCCCTCAGGCAGCTTTGCACATGCCGTGGGCCCATTGTTTTCGCTCCACTGTTGTGACCAATGTCGCCTCCCCTCGCATCTCAAATGTGTGAACATTTTGGCTATTTTCCGTGGCTATATTTCTTACTGCGGCTTTAGAAACTATCTACGCTTACTCCACGATGGATAGTGATCATGAACAAGGCCCTTCCAGGAAGAAAATTGCGAAAGAAAGGCTTGAAAAGGGCGGGAATTGGGAGTGTAGCTGGAAGGCGGCTGAGCACTCACTCGCGGCTAACGTGTGGCCCGTCTTCAACTCGTCGGCGATTGGAGCGTGACCAGGTTTTTTATTTTATATGCTAATGTTCCTCTAGAGAATTCTATTGCGAACCCATTGAGACCAAAATGAAAGACTTAGGATAAAAATTGAGGTGACCAGAGTGAAAATAGTGAACACATTTTATCGCGTTTGCGCGCTCCTGGGTAACTCGTTCGCACTTTCTCTATTTGCTGCGGGTAATTAGCCGGGCTTTTGGAGTTTATATACATTTAGTGCTGTAGAGAATTCTATTGCGAACACAATGATACCAAATTTAATCTCGTAGGACGAGAATTAAGGTGACAAAGTTGAAGAGAGTATACACTTTTCAGAATTTACGCGCACTCCCGTGACACCCTGGGTCCCATATCGCACAGTTGAGGGGTGGCGAGCGGGGTGCACCAAAGTGTTAACAGAACACCCATTTTCACAAAGTTCAATCACCCATAGCTTATTTTTAACCCTTACACTGCTACAGCCTGGGCTGTACATGGGGGGTATAAGCTGGGGCTGGGTAAAATATATTTGAATTATGTGAAAATTAATATTATATGTTAAGCAAATCTCCAACTTATTGACTTCAGAGTCGTGAAAGTTTCATCCCAAAATTTTCAGAAATGGATTTTAGACAATTTTTTTTTTTTAAAGAAAAATGTTTTGTTGATAAGGAGAACATTTCCTATTAACTAGAACCGAGGGATAATGCAGTAATAAGGAGATGCAAGCACCTGTCCGATGCGCAAAGAAGAAGAATAGTAGTTAGAAGTGTCCACAAAGTGGATATACAGCTGGTGCCTTTATAGCATTGCTGAGTAATACATAATAACAAATAATAAAAGTATGTTATCATGCTCTATTTTGTTAGATATCATACAAATACATTGTTCAATGGTATTACCTGTTACTTTCACCAATATCCACAATTTTTTTTTTTTTAGGGGTGATTTTTTTTTTCTTCTTTGTTTATTATCTGATTTTGTTGTAACCTCTACATCCCAGAGAATGCATACCTTTCCATAACTATGTGAAGAAAGAATTAAATTGGTCAACTAATAAATCAGTCATAACTGGCAGAACTTGGGACTTTGAATTTTTTGTTTCTTATTTTTTTTTTTACATATTTCAAACTCTTCTTCTTGATAGTAGCTGCAGTTTGCATGAAGGGTTTGTCCTCCCAATGACTGCACCAGTACAGATGTTGGTGGAGGCATTTATGTTGAAGATGATAAGAGTTTCAAAAGTGCTTGTTGCGTTGTGCTGTAGACAGAGGAGCGGCGACTAAAACAGAGGTGTATGTTAGAGGGAGACTTGCCGCACCGTAGGGTGGTATGTTGTGTTTATGGCGTCAGCCGATCCAATGTTGCGACAAGGCAGTTGTTTTCTGTGTTTAGCCGTTGGTGGCGCCAGGTATAAATGTGGCGCAGGTCAGATGTGACCCAATTTGTTGGTCAACTGGAGATATTTAGCCAGTGCTTTGACTCTTTGGTATTTTTCTTGTAACGAGTGGTCACCGCCTCCTAATATATGCTCGATGGTAAAGGGTATTTTAAGTGAGTTAAGTACTTGTTTGAAATTTACTCTGGCACTATAATGCCGGGCTCCCCCTCCCCGAGAGGGGGAAGGGGGAGCCCCAGACCCTTCACGCCAGCTACCCACATCTCAGTTCTTGGGGCTGATGCTATAGGTAGAGGTTGTGTGCTCTGGCTCCAGTGTCTTTACAGCACTGTGCTTCGTGTATAATGTTTGTTTTTCCAAGGGCGTGAGAGCCAGGAGATATCTTCAGTACTTGGGCTGCATGCGCCTAGGGCTGCCTTCCCTACGTGCCCTGTAAGTACTGCCCTTGGAGCTCGGGGCCACCTTCCACAGGCTCCTCGGGACCTGCCTCTGCTGGTCCATTCTACCGTTCGGTTTTTCAGCCGCCCGTTGGGCTCTTGGGTGTTCTGTTCTCCCTTGTTACCTGCGGGTAAGTGGCAGTTTGCACTGGTAGGGGCACAGGGTACTGCGCAGCTTCATTTTCCCAACATAGCGGCCGGCTTTGACCCTTGGGGTTCGCTGTCCTCTTGCGGGGTTTGTTTTTTGTTTTTGCCTTGTCGGGGGGTTCTGTGTAAATATTATTATAGATTGAAAATTGAACATGTAATACTGTGACGAACATTTTTGATGGGCACACTAGTGACATGTATCATTATCATCAATATTATATCCGTTTTAATGTAAACAAATAGGAAATGACATCCAAGTGCATAAAATAGGCAAAAAAAACTACAAGAAAATTCTTGTATTATTGATCAATATGATCAATAATATGTGTGAGGAAACTTTTTTCTCTTGAATTGCCCATGCGACCGATTTCGGGAGTCTCCTGTACAAGTGCTCATGATTTGATGTTATTGTGCACCTTTTCTACTTTACTGCAACCAAAGTAGTGTAATTTTTATTTGTTTTTTATATTGCCATGATCAGGGAAATGATTTTAACAGTATTAAAAGAATTTTGTTTAACGTGCATTACGGAGTTGTCAAATTAAACAGGCACACAGTATATGGGATAAATAATAGCATTATATATGTAGAGTACAGTACTTTAAATTACACACAAACTTTAAAGTCTGAAAAACTGCATACCAGTACTGTACTCACTTTTCTCTTTTACCTTAGATACACTCTTGTAATGTACTAAAGATATATGTACACCTACCCTTACGGAGACGTTCAACATTTTCATCAGAAACATCTTCGAATCCCAGCTTAGTCAATTCCTCCCGCACTTCTTCCTCGGTGACCCTCAAACGGTAAGGCATCTTAACACCTGAATTATCAATGACAAATATTCATCACACTGCAGGTATATTCAAATGGTGTACAATACAATATTTACAAACACCCAACTCCTAATTAAAATAATAAATTAAAGATTACAATATTATTTTTTAACAAATTATTTTACCTCACAGAGAAATGAAGTTTAAATGTATTCCTGGTACTGTATACTGTATAGTCGAACACACTTTACCTGCTTGCTGAAACACTGCTAAAAATACTGTATAATAGCACAAAAATATTTTAATCATTATGTTTTTACTATACTGTATCTGCTAAATAACAAGATGTAGATGAACACCACGCTGGAAGTAGACTTTATTTGGAGACAACATGTTGCTTGCACTATGAGAATTTGCAGACATACAGTCCACTTAAATTATCACACAACTACCAAATAATGTGAGGAACTGACCTGCGAGATTTATATTTATTTAACCGATATGAATTTATATAGAATTTATATTTACATTAATTTATATATTGCACTGTAATAGCTTTATCAAGTCTAACATGCTACACTTTACACAGAGCCAAAGATTATAAAGAGGGGAAAAGTGGGAGGAATGAGGTGTAGATGAAGTTGTGACAAGGTTGTGGAGGTAAAGTGGCAAGGTAGGGAAGCAAACATGCAATGTAATTTGCAGTTTATATCTTGAGTAAATTACATCATATTTAGCAAGGGCAGTTGCAATGCTGAATTTTTCTCGATTCTGCTGAATGGTGCTGCAGTGTTTGACAGCTGCATAGTTAATTCTGTCTTGGTAGTGCAGTTGGGCTCGTTCAACTTGAAACCAGGAATCCCAGGTTTTAATCCTGGGTGGGACAGAAATGGTTAGGCATGTTTCTCATCACATGCCTCTGTTCACCTAGTAGTAAATGGGTATCCAGGAGTTAGTCGACTGTTGTGGTAATGCACTGGGGAAAGGTCAGTAGTTCAACCTTGAGGGGGGCACCTCGATATAAGATATATTCGACTATATAAAACTATATACAGTATATATAATATATATTATTATACTGTATTATTATTATATATATCCAATATATAATATTAGTATATTTTGGTACCAGTCTTTCTTGTAAACATATGTTGTTGAATATGACCGAATGGGTAGGATTAACGATTCTAACATGAATCTTCTCAATATTTCTCACGTTTTTCTTCACCGTCGGAGGTAATTGAAAAATTAACTCTCCCAAGTTCATTTTCACATTTTTATTTTGGTCTGATGCCTAGAAGCTTTTCGCAAGACCTCTCACATTTTCAAAGAAAATTTTTTATGTACTTAAGTAAACTACTCCGTTTAAAGTTTATATTTTTTTTGGGTAAGGTGAAATGACATAAATGTTTTTGGGCGAGGTGATAAAACATGAACCAATGGGTAAATCATTGGGTAAAGATAATTTTACATAATCAGAACACGAACCAATGGGTATATATCGTATCTTCTCTTCTTACTTCTATGTTGGTTCAGGGCCTTGAAGTGGGACCCCCATTTCAAGAAACTTTTTTAATGAGTGTAATTGGACAGACTTGTTGCTAAGCAGGGAAGTAATCGAGATGTATGCCAAATTTTGAACAATGTACGATGAAAGCACACAAACATTCATACCTAAACAGAGATGCAGTGTGAGAAAAGAGGATTGGTTCAACAGAAATTGTGAGAGGGCCAGAGACCAAGACACAAAAATGGAATCAATATAGGAAGAGGCCAAACCACCAAACATACCAGCAATACAAAGATGCGAGAAATAACTACACAGCAGTAAGGAGAGAGGCAGGAAGAAATTTTGAAAAAGTGATAGCGGACAAATGTAAAACAGAACCAGGCCTATTCTACAAATTCATAAACAGCAAATTGCAGATAAAGGATAATATCCAGAGGTTGAAAATGGGAAACAGATTCACCGAAAATTAAAAGGAAATGTGTGAAACACTAAACAAAAAGTTCCAAAGTGTGTTTGTGCAAAATGAAATCTTCAGAGAACCAGACAATAAGAATTCCAGAGAACAACATATAGCACATAGAGGTGTCTAGAGACAAAGTGGAAAATATTCTCAAGGAGTTGAACAAAGCAGTTGACCCAAATGGAGTTTCACCATGGGTACTGAGAGAATGTGCATCTGAGCTCAACATTCCACTTCACCTGATTATTCAGGCATCCCTGTGTACCTAAGTCGTAGCAGATGCATGGAAAAAGGCTAACAGAGTTCCAATCTACAAAAGTGGTGGCAGGGAAGACCCCCCTCAACAATTATAGACCTGTATTGTTGACAAGTGTAATAGTCAAAATATTGGACAAAATAATTAAAACTAAATGTGTAGAACACCTGAAGACAAACAATATATCAGATCGTCAGTATGGTTTTCGATCTGGAAGATCCTGTGTATCGAATTTACTCAGTTTCTATGACCGAGCCACAGAGATTTTACAGGAAAGGGATGGTTGGGTTGACTGCATCTATCTGGACCTAAAAAAGGCTTTCGGCAGAGTTCCACATAAGAGGTTGTTCTGGAAACGAACACATTGGAGGGGTGACAGGTAAGATGCTAACATGGATGAACAATTTTCTGATAGAAAAATGAGGGCAGTAATAAGAGGAAGTGTATCGGACTGAAGAAATATCACAAGCGGAGTACCACAGGGTTCAGTTCTTGCATGGGTAATGTTCATTGTCTACATAAACGATCTACCAGATGGAATACGGAATTATATGAACATGTTTGCTGATGATGCTAAGATAGTAGGGAAGATAAGAAACTTAGATGATTGTCATGCCCTTCAAGAAGACCTGGACAGAATAAGTATATGGAGCACCACTTGGCAAATGGAATTTAATGTAAATAAATGCCATGTTATGGAATGTGGAATAGGAGAACATAGACCCCACACAACTTATAAATTATGTGAGAAATCGTTAAAGAAGTCTGATAAAGAGAGAGATCTAGGGGTAGTTCTAGATAGAAAACTATCACCTGAGGATCACATTAAGAACATTGTGCAAGGGGCCTATGTTACACTTTCTAACTTTAGAATTGCTTTTAAAAATGGAAGGCAAAATACTAAATAAATCGTTCATAACTTTTGTTAGACAAAAGCTGGAATGTGCAGCGGTTGTATGGTGCTCATATCTTAAGAAGCACATTAGCAGTCTCCGTGGTGTAGTGGTAAGACACTCGCCTGGCGTTCCGCGAGCGCTATGTCATGGGTTCGTATCCTGGCCGGGGAGGATTTACTGGGCGCAATTCCTTAACTGTAGCCTCTGTTTAACGCAACAGTAAAATGTGTACTTGGATGAAAAAACGATTCTTCGCGGCAGGGGATCGTATTCCAGGGACCTGCCCGAAACGCTACGCGTACTAGTGGCTGTACAAGAATGTAACAACTCTTGTATATATCTCAAAAAAAAAAAAAAAAAAAAAAAAAAAAACATTAACTGGAAAAAGTGAAGAGACATGCTGTTAAGTGGCCCCCCAGAACTGAAGGTCAAGAGCTACAAAGTGACATTAGAGGCATTAAATATGCCAAAACTAGAAGACAGAAGAAAAAGAGGTGATATGATCACTGCATACAAAATAGTAACAGGAATTGATAAAATTGATAGGGAAAATTTCCTGAGACCTGGAACTTCAAGAACAAGAGGTCATAGATTTAAACTAACTAAACACAGATGCCGAAGAAATATAAGAAAATTCCCTTTTGCAAACAAAGTGGCAGACGGTTGGAACAAGTTAAGTGAGAAGGTGGTGGAGGCCAAGACCGTCGGTAGTTTCAAAGCCTTATATGACAGAGTGGTGGGAAGACAGCACACCACGAGCATAGCTCTCATCCTGTAACTACACTTTAGGTAATTACACACTTATGTAATTACATAGACACAAATACAATATACAGGCTACCTATCCCTGATAAAATTTTATTAAAAATTAATTATATAAACTTTGAGGACAAGATTAACATACATAAAATGCACTTGTTGCACCCAGTTCTACGATGAGTAATGCACCGAGAGCTACCATCTCCAAAATAACACAAGATTAACTAGATGTAATCTGCAGCTCACATAATGGACCAAAATGTTATGAGAACTAGCATAGAAATCCCAAACAAAAACCAACAGGGGCACTGGTTCTATTAAATAAATGTTTGTTATTAATTTTTTTTGTAGCCCACCATCTTGTTCCATAATGATCAATATTTGTTCTGATGTTCATGGTCTTACAATTATGAAAAAAGTGATATTTTAGAGAATAAATTATTTATCAACACATTCATTGTCATATAAGTATAGCCATCATATCAGTCATTAATTCCTATACAACATTTCGCAGATTGGTCACATCAGATTGGTCCTTATTTCACTTTATAGCCCTGGAATTAGACTTGTAACCGCCCATATAGTCTAACAAAATATTTTATAGAATTTGAGTAGAACCTAAAATATTAGTAATTACCTTAAGAGAGCAACTCTGATAATATCTGTGCATAGGTTCGTCCCTTCAGGTATATGGTTCCCCCACATTAGAGGGCACGAGGCCTCAGTTTAGTGTTGGGATTATATTCTCTCTCATGTTGTTTTCTCTTAGTTTTTCTTGAAGTTGTCTTTCCCTATTATGAATTTTCCTTAAGTATTTTACCCCAGCCAGGTGTTTCATAACAACGTGAGCACTGTGCACCTGTTGCCTCAAAAGGATCTTAACACCTTACCTTTTAACTTACCAAGTGAGGAACCCGAGGCAGGACGGCAGCCACACCAACAACGCCACACCACAATTGAGGTCACACAACAACAACAGGAATTTTTGTGCCAACGATTTTAAAACTGATGTTACATATGTCATTATATCCGCCTTATTTAAAAGAGAATTGTTTCCTTTCTAATATTATGTCCGTATATTGTGCGCAAATTATTTTATGAAAATTAATATATATATTACATTTTCTAGGTAATAAAATATAAATATATCTTTCTTAATTGTAAAAGTTTCGTATTTATTCACAAATACAATTATAGTATGTAAACAGTGTTGCAGCGTTACCACGGTCTGACAGCACACTATGTAACAAGCGACGCTGTTTACTCGTTCGGTCTGAAAGCAGGATAATTAAATGTTTTACCTGAATTCGCCGAAAGAAAACATTCTAATGGCCTTCACGGAAAATTTTAAAGACGGTCATTACTGAATTCGTTTAAAAATATGTATAAAAAATTAGAAAGGAAAGAAAAGAAAGGGTATTAGATGGATGATAGGTAGTAAAAAGAGCTTTGATAATTCATCAGATCCTCTGGAGCTATAAATGTACGATGAACATCAGAATTTATAAGATATATGAAAGCCCCAGAGATGCTTTTTCACCGACAGGGGCATAAATCCATAAACCTAAGCTACTCTATCCATTTGATATGTATTTTATTGTCTCAATAAACGTACCTGAACTTGAACTACCCTACCCTACCCAACTTGAACCTACTACCCAAAATCATTTACGTCCTCTAATTACTCAACACAAAGCTGCTATTAGGACAATATCCAACTCTGGCCCCAGACATCACTCGGTACCCCTACTCAAATCTCTGAATATGTTAGATATTAAGTCACTGCACATTCTCTCATGTGTATTATACATATATAAAACGCTGAACTGTAATGCCAATCCTGACCTCAAAAGCTTCATTGAAGGTTGTAACAGAACCCATGAGCACCACACCAGAAATAAATACAGTTTTGATATTCCAAGAGTACGACTTAATCAAACTAGAAATGCTCTACAAATCAAGGGACCCAGAATGTGGAATGACCTTCCCAACCATGTTAAAGACTGTACCTCTCTCAACCAGTTTAAGATAAAAATGAAGCTATACCTAATAAATTTCCTGTAACCTACCTTGCCCCTCTATTGTCAACCAATGTCTGTTTTTTAGTGGAGGCTAATAGATCAGCCTTACATTTCTTGTTCTCTCCTGATTTTTAGTCATAGGTGATTTTTTTTATTCTGAGGCTGGTATTTTCTTCCCTGATTCCACGTATGACTAACCATCCAGTGATTCTAGATTTCTTTCTTTATTATGCACCCCATACCCATCCCGTGGGCGGTGGTGTAAAGGATTACAGAGGCACATAATCGGTTCATGAACTGAACCCTCTAGTTCGTTTAGCTAAGCCAATAACAATGTTTGACGCTAGTTACAAAATTATCAATGTTGTATACACATGTACACACCCTCATTCATACAGGTATATATATATATATATATATATATATATATATATATATATATATATATATATATATATATATATATATATACTGTATATATATATACGTATACACATATACATACACATACATATCTAATCACCCACACAATTACACACATCAATAATCTTTGTGTCACAAGTGACATTACAAGAGGCTCACAACAGTCACTATACGAGGCACTTTACATCTATAGTGAGTCACACAGTTACTAGTCTTGCTGCACACCCACCCAACTGGGCGGCAGCTTTACAGTCATGTGCATGCATTACCTACAGTAAGCAAATTTTGGATGAGATGGGAATATTGGATAAACTTATAGCCCAGCGTGTTTAGTCAGAGCTGGTTTGTTTTTATATTAAGGCTGGTATTATCTCCCCCTAATTCCATGTATGAGTAACCATCCTGTGAGATGGGAATAATAGTTGAACCTACAGCTAGTTCTTTATCTACACTGTGTAAAAAATATCTCATATAGAATAGGATAGCAGCACATTGCTGTGTATACCTAATTTAGCTAAATAAAAAAAAGTCCTTCCTCGTAACTCATACCTCTCTGTTCTAGGACAGGATAATTTATTAATCGTTGTCTAAGTACTCCAATGTGTGTTTCTGATATCGTACGGAGCAAAAATGTAAGACTGCTGAATATTTATTTTCCTAAAAATAACAGCCGACACAGGTCGATGTACATAAAATCCGTATCAATTTCTATATATAGTTGAATTTTTTCGGTATATTTCTAAATCTTGATATATGAATTTTTCATAATAATGTCAGCATAATGTTAATTTTATTTCATTTACACAGCTCACTGGAAGAAGTTGTAGGAAGAAATATGTGTTAATGAGGTGGAGTATGTGAGCCGGAGATAGTAGAGAGCAGATGACGTCCTGTTGACAGCAACCATGGCAGGCCGGTGGACGCTCACCTGTGTTATACTCTTACTTACTGGTCTAGGCTCTACCTACGGCCTCTATGAAGACCAGATAGGCAAGTTTGACTGGTAAGACATCATTCTGCTATTGCGTAGCACGGCTCAATGTAATGAGGGTAGGTAAAGTGTACAGGTTCCTGAGACCGGGTCTTGTGTTGCTGGGATGGAGATGGTTAGGCACGTTTCCTTATTCCTGTTTCCTCTGTTCACCTAGCAGTAAGTAGGTGCCGTGTCGTTAAGCCACTGTTGCGGATTGTATCCTGGAGAAGATCATTAGTTGGACGTGGAAAACCATTGACCTCCCAAATGTTAACAAATTCCAGTTTGGCAACAGGATAATTTCGTCTTCATAGTTTTTTACCTTTTGCTTTAAAACTGCACTGTATCTATTGCTACCCAATCTCACAATCTTTATGTACCCAATCTGAACATCTTTATCATTGCTGTCTTCTTATATGTAGTCAATCTGCTGTATGGTGTCTATTATCTTGTTTAAATTACCAATCAAGCTGTCAATGTAATCAATCAGAGCTTTAATATACCAATGTGCTTTAATATACTTACTAATCTCTCTCATCTCATTTTTTTTCTTGCAATGTATTTATCATTTTATTAATTCTGATAGAATTTACCTACTTAAAATTATCTGTTAGATTAAGGACCTGCCTGAAACTCTGCGCGTACTAGTGGCTTTACAAGAGTGCAATTACTGTACAATGCTATGTATTCTCACAAACCCAATTTACCTTCTTGTATATAAATAAATAAAATAAAATAAATAAATAAGGATGCTGCTTCTGGAAACTTTCCTTGTTAAGACTACTCCATAGCGCGGTCGATAGAGCTTTGGTCTCACAAGCCTGGGGTCCACAGTTTGAGTCTCCCAGAGCCCAGGTGAATACAATCTCCCAAATGTTATCAAAAGCTGTACATCTCTTAACCAGTTTAATATGTTATGTTGATTTAGGGGCGACGACGGTCGAAACCAGTTTAATAGAGAGACCAAGACGTATTTACTTTATATCGTGTAATTAATATCTTATAATCAATACCATGTAACTAATTTCACTCATTTTCCCTTATCAGTTATTTTTGTGTTATTCTTGTTTTTTTCTTTTTTATTTACCTATTATTATGTACTTTCTGCATTTGTCATCTAATTTCTTGTTTCTTTGTTAAAGTGTTTACTCGTGTCCTTATGTTCCTGGTTCATTGTTAGTGTTGGCCCCATTGACCCCCATTACATTAACATATTACTCTGTTATGTTCTGAACAAAATGTTATGAGAGAGTGCAGTTGCTTTTCTAAACTACACCATGTATTTCCATTTTGTTATTAATGTAAATATGCTACAACTATTGACATCATATTGTTATAATCTGTGCCTGTTATCCTTAAATGTCATTTTTTTCATTCATTTGTTATTTCCCCCCCCCCCCCCCTCACACTTGCCTAACCACTTGGGCTGAACAGTAAAGCGACGGTCTCGCTTCGTGTAGGTCAGCATTCAATTCCCGACCGTCCAAGTGGTTGGGCACCATTCCTTCCTCATCCCCCCTGTCCCACCCCAAATTCTTATCCAGACCCCTTCCAAGTGCTATACAGTCAATATGGCTTGGTGCTTTCCCCCTGATAATTCCCTCCCTCCCCCCTCACACTCTCCCCCTCACACCTTTGTAAAAAATTTGTCTATTTTATGTTTTTGTGCAAAATGCTTTGCATAATAGTGGCTTCATAGATTGTGTAATTCCTGTCCCCACAATTTGTATATTACTCCTGTGTTCTTTGTACATGTACACACATTCTTTTGAATAAAACTATTGTATTGTATATACAGTATACAGTTTTAACAATTATACTATTATGTGCAAAATGCTTGTATACGTTTTCAACTGCCTATCCCCCAGTTAGTTCATTGAAGAACTACGTAAACTTGGCACATTTTACTATGTATTTGCACCAATACTAATACTTATTTACTAATACTTTTTTTTTCAGAGTGAGCAGTGCATTAAATGTCTGCAAACAATTTGACCATGCCTAACTATATCCCATGGGGTGTCATAGAGACTACATAGATTCGTTGTCCTGAGGCTACCTGTATTTATTTTTGTAAGAATTAATGGTCCTCTTGTATTATGAAATTATTAAATGTTGAATTTTCATGAACTTTCAGGGTTCAACAATATGTCGGTGTTGTTGAGCATGCTGTGTTTGATGAGTCCAGCATGCCTGCACGGCGAATTATTGTGGCCACTGCACAAAATGTATTGGCTGCTCTTTCAACTAAAAATGGTAAGGAATTACGTGTTGTTTACAATTATTATTTTCAAGGGCATTTTTCAGAACTGTGAATAACCATAGGGTCTTGTGCCCGACCCTGAGCCTAACTCTTACCTTAACATTTTATGGACTGTCTCTCTGAAGCCTGGTTACATCTTCCGGGACTGAATTTTAAAAGATAACATCATTGATAATAAGCAATTAAAAATGATAACTCGGACTCATGACAAAAATTAACTCCATTATGCCCATATAAGTGTAAAATATGGTTATAGATTTACATAATTTGTATAAAAAAACAAGGGTTTGTTTTGGGATGCTTACCTTTCTGGGTGCTTGACCCGGTCGATGGCAGACATAGAATGCTTCCAACCACACGGGGGGGGGGGGGTTCTATAGGCCATTGCTCTCCTTGCCTCTCTGAGGGGGCCAGGTTCTGGCTCGTGTTTCCCGGTAGGCCCACAGAACTCCATACACATGACTGATGCCAAAGTTTGACATTAGCATATCAGCCTAGTAAGCTCTAGGGAGCCTCCGGGTCTCACCCAGAAAATGGCGTTTCATTACATTCAACACTGTTTTTTTTTTGTTGTAGGTGAAAATGTTTTCATAGTTGTATATAACTTGTGGAGGGGGGGGGCACCCAGTGGCTCTCTGAAGCTATTTTGATGAGATTGCTCTGTTAATGTCACATGAATTGCAGAAGACTGTTTGGCTTATGGGACTAAAACCAGAACCTGGCCTCCTCTCAGAGAAGCAGAGAGCGAATAACATTATGCCACCCCATTGGGAAGACTCATAAATTCAGTGAGGCACTACAGACAGCAGTAAATTTCACAGAGACCAAAACCTCAAAACTGCTAAACAATTCCCATACAATGCAAAAGAAACAATTGAAACACTTGAAACAAGCTCAAACTCATTAATACTAATAACTGCCACCAGGTGGCCCCTGAGCCTGCCCCTTCCCCTCTGCCAACTAAAACAGTGTCTTCAACACTGTTGTAGTGGTCCTGGGTCACCATTGGAAGTGGCAGGGCCCGGCACTTCTTTGAATAGGCTTCTGCTTTCTCTGATTGTTCCCTGGTAGTTCTTTGTCATCACCATAGGATTTACTTCAATTCCATTTCCCATGGGGCTGGATGCTATGTGTAGCTCATCTTCTGGGTTCTTGGAGGTTGGTTCTTCATGCAGTTTGTCGGGCCTGTCCAACTTTTTCTTGGATGGGTTATCTTGTTACTGTCCCAGCTCCACAGAGTGAACCATTGACTATGCATCCTTCCTTTAGGTCCAAGAGATATTGAGTCTTCCAGAGGTCATCTTCTTCCGTTGACATGGAACTGAAACCCCCCCTCCCCCATCATATGTGATTCTGGTTCCCGATTACGAGTCGCTCATGGTGGATGCTTTTTGACTGGACTGGTCGAGGTTCATACACTTGGTTGTGCCAGGTCCTTTCCAGACCAGAGTCATTCTCAGGGAGGATGATCCTTCTGGCTTCTTGGTAGCTGGCTCAGCCCTAGTTTCTGGTGCTTCTTGCCTGCTGTCTGAAACTGGGCATTTTACCATGGCTCTTCTTCTTTCAATGGATTGGCCTGGTGATTTACCATGCTAGTTTGGCCTCCTTTTGTATTTGTGGCAGTATTGTTTACATGAATCTACATTCATTTGTGTAGCACGCAGGTGGCTTGGTTATTAGTGTCCCACCTACATCAGTCTTCGAGGCGGCATTATGAAGTGGCTTGACGCTTGTTTACCTTTTTCTATCCCTCGATCAGATTGCCTGGTGGTGGTTCGAGCTTGTTTCACATGGTTTTGATAGTTTGTTGTATTGTTTAAGTTATTTGGTAGTTTCAACTCTTCCATCTCTGTGAACCTTACAGTTATCTATAATGCTTCCCTGATTTCCTGGATGCTTTCCCAGTGAGGTGGTGGAATGTCACTCGCTCTTTGCAAAGGCCAGGTTCTGGCTCTGGTTTCCTTCAGGCCAAACAAAACTCCTGTAATTGATGTGATCTAGGAGCACTCTCTGTGAGATAGCTTCAGGGGGCGCCACCAGAGCTCTACCAAAAAGAGGCATTTCACTACATTCGATATTGGTTTTCGTTGAAAGGTGACATAGCATGGCGTCATGTTATGGAGACTTCAGACTCGGGAAAGGTGGATCTACTAGCTAGTGAAGGACCACAAGTGATAACCGTGGCAGGTAATCTTTTGCGAACCTGGGATGCAATCTCTGCAGCACTCAATATAGAAATACAATTAGACCATTCCCCAGCAGCTGGGTAAGTTGGATTTTGATGAAAATTGTACAGCAAGATAATAAAATTAAATTTGATATAATCTTGATATAGGTTCAACATATTTAATATATTTTTATTATACAGTAATTGTAAAATATAAATACTGTAACGTTGTTTTTCAGTGTTTTTCAGCGAGCAGTAAGTCTTACTGATAGTGAGGTAGTCTTGGCTGAGCTCATTGCTGGATCTGTAATGGTGACAACATTTGACCGATCATCTGGTGCAGCCCTGGACCACGAAACAATTGTGGCACCCTGGTTAAATGAGAATACCAAGTAAGGTCTTTTTATATCAAATTTTTTATCTAAAATCATATGGCTCATATTTATTGCATCTTGTTTTGTATATTTTTGGGGAGGACCACGCAGTAGCTCCCAGGGGCTACGTACTTGGAAGCTACCAAATCTGAAATACAAGAATAATGGGAGGGCTCTCCAAAACAAGTAACTGCATAGACAACCCATTTTAGCTAAGATGACCAGTTGGTTAACAATGCTTGCTTGCCAAAGATGGTAGCTTCAGCCACCCAAGACCTCAGCCATCCAACCCAGCCATTCATGCACTGCCTAGCATAAGACCTCTGAACATGAAAAATGGCCAAGGCCTTATGTGGGGAAAGGAGAGAAGTGGGACAGAATGCTTGTGGCTCAGCACTTCATTAATGTTCCTTGGCAATTTCAAGATTGCTTAGTGTTGGGTCAGTTGAACCGGCAAAAAGTCCTTAACTTCTTAATTATATACAGTACAGTATATATACATATATGTATACTGTATAAAGGTCTTCTCCAAGTACTTTATTTTCTTCTCCGAGGCTGTGGGTCCCTACACATGCACCAGAGACATTTTCTGGGACTTGCCCAGAAAATGACATTTCATTACATTCAACGCTGGTGTTTATGTATTGTTTAAAATTTGCATTGGTTAATGAGAAGATATTGTCATTTATAATATATGCTCTAAATTTTGTTTTTAGATGCTCATCCATAGACAAGACACTAGTATGTTTGGAGTTGTCTTTAAATTTGGTGTTCACCCTGCCATTGACTGCTGCTTCACCAGCCTTCTTGTCTCAGCCTCTGGCTTCAATTGGTTTGGAGGATCCTGGAGCTAATTCTCAAGTTACTCTGCAGAAGGTCCCTGGATCTACTAGTCATTTAGTTATTCAGGTACAGTAATAGTATTATTTGAAAGTCTATAGTATTTTGGTTATATTATAATACATGTATAGCAACCACAACACTGTACATGTAATTAGTAGTGCCTCGGTTAACAAATTTAATCCATTCCAGCACTGAGCTTGTCATGTGAAATGCTCATCTTGCGAAACGAGTTTCTCCATTTACAATAATGAAAATAAAATTAATCCATTCCACCACTGAAAAACATCAATATGATATTCAATTTTTTTATTTTTTCATAGAAAATGGAGCAGCTTACCTGACACACTGAACAAACCTTTTTGACATATGTTCTTTTTTCAGATTTTTTCAATCTTATTTTTTTTCTGGGGGAGCCCCTTTGGCTCCCCGGAGCTTACTAGGCTGATATGCTAATGTCAGACTTTGGCATCAGTCACGTGTATGGAGTTCTGTGGGCCTACCTACCCCTAGATCTTTCTCTAAGAATTTTTTTAAAGTGTTTCCACATAATTTGTAGGTTTGTGTGGGGGTCTCTTTTCTTCTGTTCCACATTCCATAATATGACATTTATTCACATAAAATTCCATTTGCCAAGTGGTGCTCCATACACTTATTTTGTCCAGATCTGTTTTATTTCATACTTGTGCTTTATTTTATACAAACTTGTTGTTTGTTTAGCTTCACTTTCTGGATTTTCCTTGGTGAGGGTAATCTTAACACTCTTCTGCTCCTTGCCTCTGTGAGGGGAACCAGGTTCTGGCTCTGGTCTTTAGTAGACAATGGAGACTCGTGTGACACGAGTCACAACAGTGAGCTGCCTTCAGGTCCTAGATCCAACCAGAAAGAGGCATTCCATTGCATTCTATACTGTTTTTAATTTTATTTTGTATACTCAAGCATAATCTATTATCCTTATATAATTTTTGTTGCATCTATACTCTAGAAAATTAATTCGTAAACATTTTCACAAGTTACAGTATAGTTACACTATAACCCAAAAAATAACATGAAAGGTAAAATGAATATGAACATTTTAGAGATCACTGAGCAGGGGTCTTGAGAGGCTTGGAACATTTACAGTTGGGTTCACAGCAACGGGTAGGATCATTATAGTGTGAATTGTCTACTTTAGAGGCAAGGGGTTCAGTCCCACCCTCTAGTGTGCCTGACCCATTTTTATAATTTGGATGGTCATTACCCTCTTCTCCCCCCTTCCCTATGGTCCTTCTATTTCTTGCGGCAATTGTTGCAGTGGCCTGAGCCTGCTGTGGCCTGTTTCTTTAGGCTTTTTTAGTACCTGCACATTCTGATACCTATAGCTGCCTACCTATTGTGGTGGTGGTTAATTCCTGGGATCCTTTTCTCCCTTTGAATTTGTATTACTTTATACTTGTTGGGGTTGAATTCCAGCAGATATTTGTCTGCCCACTCCAGGAGTTTGTCAAGGTCTTTCTGTAGTTTTTTCTAGTTTTTGTCAGTTTGTACTAATAATTTTGCATTTGCAATTGCTAACATATACGAACTCGCCTTTTCATATTGATCATTAACAGATTACAAATACTGAAGGGGCCAAGACCAAGTCTTGAACTGTTTGCTGCACCCACATGTGCATGTGTGTGTGAATGATGTGCGTTTCATTATTTATTACTTACATTACACTACTACATAACACTACTTACATTATTCACTTATTAGTATTAATATGTTAAATTTATATTTGTATACTGTATACCTGTGTATAATTAAATTTTTGCGACATTTATTTCTAGTACTATATGCCAAAACAAAAGTCATTTAATTAATGAAAATTCTGTTTGGAACCCTAGTATTTCCAACAGCAATTTTGCAAATTGCTATTCGTTTAACTTGATCGTGATTAGAACTTTTGTCTTAATTTTTTTCAGGTGGCTGGGACTAGGAAACTAGTCCATATTCATGAGGATGGACTTCATCTTGTATTGGAGCTAACTGGGACGAAGGCTTCTTCCATAACAGAGGGAGTTTTGTATACCATAACGCAGACAGGACGGGTGAGATGCCATTTTGTTTCTGCTGACCAGGTGGTGTAGCATGTAGATGAACTGTATTAATTATGCTATACTAAAGAATGGTGAGTGCAGAAGCAGGCAGTTGCATATTCCCCCCAGAGATACTGTACTGTATAGGGATGTGTGTTAGTTTAGAGGGTGTTCAAGAGAGGATACTTAAAATTGAAATACAGGGTATATATAATTAGTTAAGCACAGTGCAACCTTAACAATCTGGACTTCATTACAATGATTAACTTTTATCATCACTGAATGGGTTCCATGAAATTAATGTACGTTCTATAGTGTGTTGACCAAAATTGAACTGCATAATCTAAACTGGGCCTAACAAGATAACCCATCCTTTTGTTTAGATTGTTTTTGGAACTATGTGCACCATAGTATAAATATACGTGTACTAAGACATACTAAGCAATTACTGTAGATAGAATTTGGTACTACAGCATTCACGTTATAGAGTCCAAAAAATAAAGAAGCTAAAAAAAAACTTAAATATTCCTAGGCATAGTATAGCACACACATGTACTATATTAGGCCTCGGATAGCGTGTACAATATTAGGCCTAGGAAGGTTTAGTTAGGTTGTCTTTGCAATGTTAATAATGGAAATGCCATTATAAATGCCCCAAATAATGGAATTTGGACATAATGGAAACACCGTTTCCATTATGTCCAAATTCAGTACTGAACAAAAGCAAGAATGCAGCTAAAGAATAAGTGTTTTATTGTTAATGCTTCTAGAGATTAATCCCAGTACTGTACTCTGCCTTGTTCTGGACCCCTCATCGTCTGTATATACCCCCCTCTACCCCTCATCCTCTGTATATACCCCCCCTCTACCCCCTCGTCCTCAGTATATACCCCCCCCCTCTACCCCTCATCCTCTGTATATACCCCCCCTCTACCCCTCATCCTCTGTATATACCCCCCCCTCTACCCCTCATCCTCTGTATATACCCCCCCTCTACCCCTCATCCTCTGTATATACCCCCCCCTCTACCCCTCATCCTCTGTATATACCCCCCCTCTACCCCTCATCCTCTGTATATACCCCCCCTCTACCCCTCATCCTCTGTATATACCCCCCCTCTACCCCTCATCTTCTGTATATACCCCCCCTCTACCCCTCATCCTCTGTATATACCCCCCTCTACCCCTCATCCTCTGTATATACCCCCCTCTACCCCTCATCCTCAATATATACCTTCATAAAAGTGGATGCTTTGCATTCCTTCGTTGTAGAATCTAGGTGGTTGGCTATACAAATATTGATTTTTTGCACGGTGTGAACACCCACTACTTTCTTTCCCATGTTGTGTTCCACTCATTATGAAGAAATTTCCTCTTTGTTTTGAATCAGTTGGGCCTTTAGTTTCCACCTGTGATTTAACTTTGTGCTGCACCTTTCTAATAGCCAATCTCTGGTCACCTTTTTAATATTTTAGTCCAAATACAGTACTTTGTTACATACTGCAGGTACCTTCATTTCTCTAGCCTTTTAATGTTTAGTTCTTTCAGCCTATCCTTGTAACCGTTTCTTTATCTCGGGAACTACTGTGATGGCAAACCTCTGGTCCTTCTTTATGTAATTACTACTTTATTTATTGTATTTGCAAATGTACTGTATTTAATTTTTTTTCAGTTGGTGACAATAGAGGCAGTGGAGTTAGAGTCGGGTAATGAGCTTGGTGAGCAGGGTGTGGTAGTGGAGCTGCCATTCCAGTCTGGCACAATTCTTTCGCTTGCTGTCTATCGCTTTGAGAGACGAGATGGAGGCATGGCTCTTCGTGCATTTGTTACCTGTTCAGATCATGCACTTCACCTTATAAGCAGTGCAGGTATATCCAAAAAATTGTTAGATGCCTTAAAATGGATGTGGTATATTTTAATATAAATTCTTCATCAGTACAGTAATTTGAGTTTTGTCCATTCTTGGTAAAAATTCTCGGCTTACATACTGTTATTTTGTTATGGTAACACTTCAGAAAAATCATAACCATTGCTGCACATATACATTAGCTTATTCAACTAAGTTGAATATAAATCAACAATAATAAGCAGAAAAATAATTCATTCTCCTGCAAATTTTATTTTGTAACTCTTATGCTCAGCTGAGGGGGGCCTGACAGCTGAGTGGACAGCACTCGGGATTCATAGTCCTAAGGGTCCGGGTTCGATCCCCTGTGGCGGCAGAAGCAAAGGGGCAGAGTTTTTCACCCTGATGCCTGTGTTCACCTAGCAGTAAATAGGTACCTGGGAGTTAGACAGCTGCTACAGGCTGTTTCCTGGGGATGTGCAACAAAAAGGAGGCCTGGTCGAGGACCGGGCTGTGGGGACGCCAAGCCATGAAATCATCTCGAGATAACCTCATAATATAAATAGATCATTTCAGTTAAGGGGCATAATTCACAAGACAAGTTGATACATTGCTGCCTTTAATTTTATGTTAGCAAGAGGCATGTGCTTAATAACAGGAGTATGGTGTGCTGATAAACTTTTAAATTCAAGAAAATGAACTAAAACAAATGTCACAAAAGAAGTTATAGTAATCGTGGAAACTAATATAATTGGAATAGTCACTAATTCAGTATTCTCCAGAGGAAATGGAGAAGGGTAGTACTAGAAGAATGCTCTAAAGGAATGAAGATTTTTGATGCTCAGTTTTGAGGTGGCAAACAATTATGAAGATTATCTTATGGGAATCTTTTCAAAGGGATACAGATGTTAAATTTTTTGGTGGTTCATGTTAGAGATAATGATCTAAGATCTAAATTGAAACCTTACTGGGAAAATAAAAACTATATATTTCCTATGATCATCTTTCCTGTCGTCACTTCTTATGATTTTGGGTACGTTGTAATGTAGTCCCATGGGACACTAATCTGTTTGGACACAAAGTAACATGTACATAACATACTGTTATTCTTTCATAGGAATACTACCTTTACATGTATGACCCACTGCAATTGATTCATACCTAAAAGGTCCTAGGTTTGATTCTTGTGCAGGACGGAGATACTAAGGCATGTTTTGTTACACCTAATGCCTCTATTCACCTAGCAGTAAATAACTACTCATTACTTAGACAGCTATTGTGGATGGCATCCCAAGGAAGATCAGGGGGGACCTTGATGAACTGAACAGACTTCTGGTCCCCTGACAATGACGAGTCATGCAGGACAAACAACTAGTTAAATCTGAATTTAAACAAAATTTCACACAGAAACATGAGAATTAGAAAGCAGTTCAACAGGCCATTTGGCCCTCACTAGGAAGGTCTCATTTAAATTAACCTGCACTAATCCATATACTGTACCTATCCAATCTATTCTTGTAACATTTTAAACTATTTGTGTTTATTCTTGCAGCCCCCATTCCACTCCTCCACTTCCCTAGTCATGCCAAAAGATATGTACTTGAAAAAGTTCAGGCCAGATCGACAAAATAAATCATCCCACAACTAAGTTAACTTTTGTACCCAGACATGGCAGGGCTGATTTTAGGCTTTAAAAATCTTAGCAAATTGAAAAATATTAATCCAGACCACTTCTTTAAAAGTCCAATATAGTTAACACAAACTACAGTGTTGAACAAAACAGGGATTTTTTTCACCTATAGAATTATAAACCAATGGAATTGCCCACCTGCCATGCCCATAAATCCAAAGACAGTACCTTGGTTCAAAATTTGCTAGGAAAAATCCTCAGAATTTATGGTGGGACATTTGACTAGCTGCTGGCTCTCAATTACATTAAGGCCACTAGATCTAGATGGTAGCCCTCGGCTAAATTTGGGTAAATAAATTTTTGTAATCCAACAAATTCTGACCTGCAATACACTGCTGTGTTCATAAAAAAAACTTACAGGCATACCTCAGTTTAAGAGTTTAATTGGTTCCTGGAGACGCCTCGTATTCCGAAAACTCGCATTCCGAAGCTAATTTCCCCATAAGAAATAAAGGGAAATGAATTAATCCGTTCCTGACTACCCCAAAAACCCCACATCAAACTAAGTTTTTATACCTAATTCATCTAAATAAACCTACAAAACTATGTTCAAGTTATTACTTACCTTGCTGTTGATTGCTGTAGGCGTATGGAAGATGGTGAGGAGGTGGGAGGAAGAGAGGAGTTACTGTTTGGAAGGGGAGTCCCCTTCCATTATCACATCAGGCAGTGAGGACTTCACTGGTATGCACACTCTGGCACATTTTGCCTGCATACCACTAGGACTTGCTTGTTTTACTAAGAATTTATCTAATGACACTTGTTTTTCCCTACATTTTAACACTTGTCTGTAGTAAGACATCACATTATCATTTAAAAGGTCAATGCAACGGCCTGCTACAGCTTTATCTGGGTGAGTTTTTTCAACAAAACTTTGCAGTTCTTCCCATACTTCACACATTTTCTTAATCAAGAAGGGACATCCTCTACTGCCTCTACTCACAGCTATTTTCTTAGGTTGAACCTTACCAATGGCTTTCTTGAGACCCATGGCAAGATATATAATGACAACTTTTATGCTCAAATGGCCAAAAAAACGATAAAAAACTGTAAATCCTTGTGAAGAATTCAGGTGGGATAGTCACTGGACACGAGACACTGGTAAACTGAGGCGCGATCGCCATGCCACCACGCGCCAGTCGGCCTGTACACGTATCAACAAACTCGCGTCCCGAGGTAACCCTCGCGAGACATATTTTTGGAGTAAATCCTGCTCGTCTTCCAAAAAACTCGCACACAGGGACACTCGCATTCCGAGGTACCACTGTACTTATTTATCCTATTGTCGTCAATTAGAACGTGAATCAAATTTTGTTTATTTTAAATTTGAACAATCTATATAAATAAATGTTAACTTTAGATTATAGTAAAGTATTAACATAAATTTTCAGGAGTTGTGTGGTCCAGAGAAGAAGCATTGGCATCAGTGATTGCAGTTGAAGCAGTGGACCTTCCAGTGGATGGAGCAAATATTAACTACCATGAACAGTTGCCTCCTCGAACAGGTAGAACTTCCTCTCTTCAGTTTAGTAAATCTTGTAAGATTTATGCTTATACAAAACGGTTAAAAGGAATTGTTCTTAAAATTAAAATATACTGTACACTGTACAAGTTACAAATAATTTGTTAAATTATTGTTTAGTCAATTCATATTTGCAGTAATATTTTAGCTTAGAGCGACCTGCATAATCTCGTGCACTTCTCTAAAATATCTCGTCTATTTGCTCATTTAAGTTCATTTGACTATATGTTTGCTCCTTCTGGGTAAGTTTCGCTTTTTTGTACATTCAGTACTGTATGTTAGATAACTCGGCATAAAAATAATTAGTTAAAAGTTAATTTTGCATTGCTTTAGTATTACATATACATTTAAAAGAAATATTTATAATTTTTTATACAGTATGTACTTTTTACTTTGTATTTTGTATTTTCCAAATATTTAAAAAGTAATTTTCTTTAGCATCTGCACCAACATTTTATGAAGAGTCAAGTAAGTTTATTACATGCAAATTACTCAATTTGTTTTATGTATTTGTAACTGCCATTTGTATTTCTGATAAAACTTGCCATTGAGCTTTTGTATCTTGCATAAGAAAAACTAGACTTACCTGCCTTATTGTTTCTTCTTATGCTTTTATGGTAATAAGGTGCATGACATGACCATAGAAGTTAGCATTACAGGTGACGAGATGTCACTGTTGCTGGAGAATTCATTTAAACCTGACATGGGGTCATGAATCGTGTAGTTGCTTTGCTAAAATTAAATCCTCATTTCTTAAGAAGTGTTTATTGATGTTTTATACTGAGGTACAACTGGTGTACTGATGTTGCCATCATTTGTACCTTCCTCCACATTTATAAAGGGATGTGGGAATTGGTTAGATATTGGTGCTCATAGTTAGAAAATAACACAACCAATTAGGTGACTAGACTTCTCGTGGTAAAACATTGGTGTACATTCAGCTCCAGCAGTTTTGTTTGGTTTGAGCCAGGAACTTGGTAGAGACATGAAATATAATTTGATAGGGTCATATAATTTAAGTATGCAGAGATGAATCACAATAACGTGGCTGTAGATATGCTGACTAAACCACACATCCGAAAATGGAGAAAAACTGACATTTTGGTTCAACCTGGACCATTATAAAGTTGTGTAATAGAAGAGGAAGGAACAGGCAAATAAAGAGAGGTGAGGAGCAGGAAAGAATAAGAAGAAAGGTAATAATACCCTTCATCTTATTTTTAGAATACAATGAAAGGTATTAATCCCATTTATAGAATAGTATGAAGGTACTGTAAGAATAAGAGGAAAGATAAGAATATGATAAGGGGGTAAGAATAAGAGATAGAGGCAAAGCTTATGTCAGATCACATTTGTTAAGGTGGTTAGATCATTTAAATGTACTGTGAAAGAAAATGGTGAACAGCAATAAAGCCAGGGCTTTGTTGCTGTTGGACATGTCGAATTGGCCCTGATACACAAGTCGGCACCTTGTGGAGACTCCACAAAACACACAGCGTTTTGCCTGAAACGCTATGCGTACTAGTGGCTTTAGGTATTTTATGTACTATCTCTATCTTTAAATCCAACATTATGTATGTAACTCAATGTATATACCTTTACCTGAATAAAATATCTAATCTAAATCTAATCTAATCTAGAGGCAGGAACAATTATTTTAGAAGTAGACCAATGACAGACTTAAGGAACACAAGTGTTAAGTCTGCAGACACAAACAATGCTCTCTTCTGTCATGTTAAGAACTAATATTGTATAGATTGGTCTTCTAAAATAATGAACAAATCCACAATGGCCGTGATAGGGTTCGAACCTATGCACAGGATGTTCCTAGATATGCCTTGATCAACTGCACCACGATATGGTCAAAATAATTGCAACCTGAAGTGCTACTGTCCTCACTAGAATCCCGAAGCTTCTTCGAAGTCCAATTGGGGTTTCACACAATTTCCCCATGCACTTGGGCTCTGTCAGCCAAATCTTCTACCTCTGCGCCTTTGCTTCGATACACACAAAACTCACAATAACGTGATATATCAAATAAATAAATCCACAAGAGCCATGATGAGGGTTCCATGTCATGGTACAGTTGACTAAGGCACATCTGGGAACATCCCGTGCATAGGTTCAAACCCTCATCATGGCCCTTGTGGATTTATTTGATATATCACGTTGTTGTAATTTCTGTGTGTATTCTAACGTAATCTTTCCTGCCTCTACTCTTTACAGACACTGTCTTGTTGTTGAATCGGCTCTGATACGCAACATGCCCAACATGAACCTTAGCTCTGGCTTTGTTGCTGTTCACTCTTCCCTTTCATAGTACATACTTAAATGCTCTAACATTCTTCACAAATGTGATCTGACTAAAGCTTTGTACCTGTCTCTTATTCTTACACCCTTTTCTTATTCTTATCTTCCCTCTTATTCTTACCATCATCCTATTCTATGAATGGAATGAATACCTTTAATGCCTTCGTAAGATGAAGGATATTCTTACCTTTTTCTCCTAATTGCTCCTCATCTCGTCTCACTCTCATACCTTGCCCCTTCCTTTCTTCTATTCCATGACTTAATAATGGTTCAGGCCGGACCGAAATGTACTGTAATTTCTTAATTTTCTGATCTGTGGTTTGGTCATCATATAATGTAAGTACTGTAGTTTACAAGATATGTGCTCCGAGCTTTTATTAAGGCGAGTAGCATTATGCTAAAGATTGTTTAAAGAGAGTTATGTACTAGTATGTTATAATGGTTTTAAGTTTCCAGTAGACTATATTATTTAGAGATGAATTAATATATTCATTTCGTTAAAATTACATGGCTAAATATATTTGTTGTGAAAATATTCTTTATTTTATGAAAACAAACATTCATTATAGGGTCTAGGATGAATTAACTTAGTGCTTACTTAACATCTGTTTTATAACATGAATGTTAAAAACAAAATTTTAATTGTACTGTATTAGAGGAAAAAAATGTGTAAAAGTATCTCTGTAATTTTGTGGAATGGTTTAGTTCTGTACATAATAAATTATTATTATTTTCATAAGGCTTGGTTGGCAGCCTCGTGCATCGAGTCAAGACCCAATGTTCTCAAATTGCTCATTGGTTTAGCTCCATGGTTGGAAGTTCAGATTCTTTCCAGGCATCTCTTCACACTCTTAAACGAGATGAACTAAACCTTCGAAAACTGCTAGTAGTAGCTACAGGCAGTGGTAAAGTAAGTTTTCTTATATATCAGTGTTGTCAGATTTACTTGAGCTTTACATTTTTGTATAATTCTGGAAGCTGCTTGGCATATCTTCACATATTTTATAATTAATATTGAATAGCAGTGCATTCTATTACTTTATTCTCTGCATTGCTTATTTAAAATAAAACATCATTATTAACCAATTCGTCTTTCCGTGGTGTGGAGAGGCATATGCTGAAGACTCCTCAATATTGGTATGGGAGGTTCAGCCATTTGACATGTTAACTATAAAATGCATTTCTGGTTACTCGAAGAAAAATAGTTGTTCATTGCAAATTCTTTTTTGATCCTGGGGCTTAGAGAAAATGTTTTCAATCCTATAATGCTTGACTAGACTTTCTAGCCTTCAAAACTGGTGCCTGGACCTGGTATGTTCCACTATTTATTGATGACAGAATGAAATGGCACCCTTATGTAGTAGACCGAAAACTGCACTGAATGTCTCCCACAAGCCTTCCTTATACTGTATGTATGTATATAATATAATTCTTTTTCTCTGGGGAGCTCCGTCGGCTCCCTGGAGCTATTTGACTGATGTACGCTATATTAGTTTGGGGCTTCAGTCAAAGGAGTACTGCCTACCATGGACCGTGAGCCAGAACCTGGCCCCCTCAGAGAGGCGCAGGGAGCAACGGCCTAAGCAATCCCCCTTGTACAAATGAACAAATTTGTCAAACTCCCCCTTGTATTTGGGAGTATTCCATGTTTGCCATCGACCAGGGTTAGGCACCCAGAAAGATAGGCGTCCCAAAACAATACCACTTGGTAGAAAATTACAACCTAAGACCGAACAGGAATGCCCAAAAGAAACGGGCAAACATCGTCAGGAGCCGCGCTGCTTGTCCCACACAGTTTGGTGATAAACAATGGGCAGAGCATTCCATGAATGCTTGTGAATTGTGATGTTATAGCAAGGTTTCTTTGCTTCACCATAGCCAAAGTAAACAACATTCTTATTATTTTTTTGATCACGGAATGCATTTTAACAATATTAGGAGGATTTTTTAGAAAATTAAAATGTGGAATTTTTTTTCACCGACTTCATTTTTCTAAAGACTTTTACTGTTATAGATTAAAAGTGGGTATTTTCTTACTAAAAATAAAATAAGCAAAAATAACGAATGATAATTTTGAATCTCCATTTTAGTCAATGTGGGAACAAAATTGAAAAAAGGGGGTTGCCATAGTGAAAGTTTAAATGATTCCCATTTATTTACCTTGTGACAATAAACAGCTCCCCAGAAAATCGGCAATACTTTACTCTATCAACAACATAGTTTGTGATCTTTCCTTAAAATATTTGCTTGCTGTATTACTTTTTGGATAATTACATTAAGAACTGTGGTTGTTTATCTTCACTCTTAATCTCTCAGATATTGGGGGTTGACAGCTGGAATGGAGACGTGGTGTGGAGCATTTACCGGGCTCAGCTAGCACCACTTCAGGGTAGCAAACTTTTGCTTTACTCGCAGCGTACTTCGGCACACTTCCCACACCAACCGCAGTGTGTTGTGGTTGGTAGGCACAGGGTGCGTCAACTCTTACTGTTGAGTATTACTCGTCAAATATATTCTTCAATATTTAAATTTTTTAGCATAGTAACTATAAATTGTAGAAAAAGCATTTATTTATTCATGAGCGTGACTATTCAGTACTAATACTGAATTGCCTTTAAATATTATACATTGTTTTTGAAACCTCCATTAATAATATTGTTTAGAAATATGAAGCAGTTGTAAGAAGCATTGGTTGAACACCAGTGCCTCCTACAATGACTAATATATATGACTCCAAACATTAAATTCCATGGAGTGAAAAAGGATAATGTACTGATCTGTACTAGAAAATTAAGTGGAAAAAATATTATGAGGAAATGCCTTTTTTTTTTAACCTAAATGAATAGTATTTAAGTTTTTAAGGTTCAGTCAGTATGTAATGGAGTAGTTACTTTAATGTTTGCATTAATGTACTGTAATTGTTTATTCTAGGTGACGGGTGAAGGCCTCCTTGTTGTGTTTAACCCCATCTCTGGTACAGCCGTAGGGGACAGAGGGGATGTTATTCCTCTGGGTTATCAGCTGAGTCAGGCACTGCTTATGCACCATGCAGATGAGCAATATCTCAAGGTCAGTGGTCAAAATAATATGAAATAGGACAATTCACAGGCAAAACTATCACTTTTGTTTTATGTGTCAATTATCAATAACCGTTCATAGTCAAATATTGGTAACTGTTAATGCACTATATCATACATGTACTTTTCTGGTACATCATTTAGACAGAACAGAAACACTTCTACTGTATAAATTATAATATAGGTATGAGAAGGATCCATTTCAGAATTTTAACACTACAGTAATGGTATCACATTAATGTAATGTAGTGTACTGTGTATGGAAACATTACAATACATTGTAATGCTATTGATGTATACATATTCAGTTTAAACTAAACAGGTAGTTCTCAGTTGAATCAAAATAAACCCCAAAATATTATTTAACACGTAATTAAAACTTACATTGTGAAAAATCTTGTATACAAGAAAAATTCAAAGTAAAAAGTGATTTAAATAAAAAAATAACTTGAATAAAAAAAGTATTTTAGTACTTTTGGATGATTATTGTTTTGCCTTTTCAGCCTCTGATGTTGGTGGATAAGTCACTTGTGCCCCGCATGTTCCCAGCCAGCGGAGAAAAGGTTGTGTTGGAACACAAACAATCCATCTTTCTTCACTTGACTCATCCTGGTAGCAGTGTCCTTACTGGATACTCACTCAGATTTTCTCAGCCAGGGGTAAGCATTTTGTGGTGTACTTCATTTTTGAATGGTGAATATAATATTACAGTGGTACCTCGGAATGCGATTGTCCCTGTATGCGAGGTTTTCGGAAGGCGAGGTGTATTTGCTCCAAAAATTTGTCTCGGAAGGCGATGGTTACTTCGGGAGGCGAGTTTGGACGCGAGTTTGTTGATACGCGTACAGCCGACCTAGCGCGTTTGTCGCCCCGCCGCCCCGCCGCCCCTCAGTTTACCATTGTCTCGCGCTCAGTGACTACCCCACATCAATTCTTCTCGCGGATTTTCAGTGTTTTGTTGGATTTTTGGTGATTTGTCTATACAATTTGTTATTATATATCTCACCATGGGTCCCAAGAAAGCCAGTGGTAAGGATAAAGGCCAGAAAGCTCATGTGAGGATGACAATAGAGGAGAAACAAGAGATCATTCGGAAGCATGAGAACGGTACACGTGTTGTTGAACTTTGTAGGCAGTACAACAAAGCCACATCAACAATATGCACTATACTTAAGAAGAAAAATAAGATTATGGGTGCTAAAGTGGCAAAAGGAGTAAGAACATTAACGGCACAAAGACCACAAATACTTGAAGAAGTGGAAAAGTTGTTATTAATTTGGATACACGACAAGGAGTTGAGGGGTGACAGTGTTTCGGAGGCCATTATTTGTGAGAAAGCCAGGGTGTTGCACGAAGACCTTCTAAAGAATACCCCTGCAACGAGTGATGCAGATAAGAAAGAGTTTAAGGCAAGCAGGGGCTGGTTTGAAAAATTTAGAAAGAGAAGTGGTATCCATAGTGTTACAAGGCATGGGGTTATGTGATGTGATTATAGAAGGGGACTCCCCTTCCAAACAGTAACTCCTCTCCTCCTCCCCCCTCCTCACCATCTTCCATACGCCTACAGCACTCGACAGCAAGGTAAGTAATAACTGGAACACAGTTTTGTAGGTTTATTTAGATGAATTAGGTAAATTAGGTATAAAAATTTAGTTTGATGTGGGGTTTTTGGGGTAGTCAGGAACGGATTAATTCATTTCCCTTTATTTCTTATGGGGAAATTAACTTCGGAATGCGAGTTTTCGGAAGGCGAGGCATCTCCAGGAACGGATTAAACTCTTATTCTGAGGTATGCCTGTAGTACAAGGTTGCATCTTCCAAATCTGGAGCTTCCTCTAATATATCCCTCTACACAACAAACCAAATTTGGCCACTGGAAACCTTCTTGTAAGTGATGGTATAAAATAAAACCTTACTATTACTTATTATAAAATTAGGGTGTACAAAATAATATAAATGTGGCACTTCTTAAAATTCAAGAGGAAATTCCAAGTGACCTATGCATAACTATTTTGAATCGAAGGATTCAAGCACATCGGTATTCTGTGGGATCACGTATATTTAACGCATGAATGTGACACAGACAACATGGAATTAATCAACAGTTAGAATTACACAGATCTCCGTAGTGAGGAGATCAAAACTGAGGTAAAACATCTCAATAAGAAGATTGGCACCTCTTGAGCACAGTCCAACACATCACTTGATTTACTGCCATGTTTTATGTAATTTACCACCAAATTTGTTTATTTAAATCTGAAAGGCTTCAGTTTAGTGTGTGCATTATACATTTTTAATTTCAGGCACTGACCCTTACAGAAGTGTGGACAGTTTCGTTAGGGGGTGGACCAATTACAGGCGTGTATGGAAAGCTTGCCTATGAGAAAGTACATTCCCCTGGACGAGTTTTGGCAGACCGTTCAGTGCTGTACAAGTATGTTAACCCCAACTTGGCTGTTGTGACTACGCAAGGTTATGATCACATTAACAAAAGTGAGTGAAATATGGGACAAACATGTATTAATTCTGTTTTTAAAATTAGAGTTTTGATTGTTCACTTAGATGATTTGGTGTAATAATTGAGACCTGTCATTTCATTACAATATAAGCCTATTATACATAATAATTCATTGTGTCAGGAAAGAGGCAGCCAGAGTGTATTTATATACGTTTCCCTTATATCAAGGTCCCCACCACCCCAGGTCGAATTATTGATCTCCCCCCCTCCCCCTTCAGGATGCAACCCCACAACAAACTGATTAATTCCTGGCTACCTACTTACTGCTTGGTAAACAGGAGTATTAGAAAATGCGCCCAACCATTTCTGTCTCGCTCGGGATTTGAACTCGGAATTCTCGATCGTGAGTCAAGAACGAACCCAACTGTACTACCGGGGACAAAATAAGTACAGTGAATATAACATGGGATATGTACAGTATAGAGCCTAATATGAACACTACAAAATATGTTATGTATTGTGCTTTAAAAATTGAAAAGGTTAAAGTTTGTAAAACCTTGTATGCACACTGTAAAGAAAGTGACTGTAATTTAATTGAAATTTAAATACTCAATTTTATAGACATTTTTTGAACTAATGAGCATTGGCCTCAATAAGTTTGATGTGATTGTCTACTCCTTAAAGTGTGGCAATCATCAAAATTATCATCTTGCCGAGTGGTGGAATCACTGGCCTCGTTGAGACATGAGATGCATTTTTGCTGACGCAGCTGGGAAGGGGGTGAGGACCCGGATGATCAATTTGGATGGTTTTTATGTTCCTTAGATTCACTTTAATTTATATAATGTGTTAAATAATGATTGGTGTGCAAATAGACAAAAGAAGTGATTGAATACAGTACTGTGCATAGGCCTATAGTCTAATACAGAATACACCTATATTGTGTATAAACCTGTTCCTGGCACAAGTCAAAGGAAGCATCTTGCAACCTCTCCTTTGCTGCTGTTCTGCCAGGCAATGTCATCCAGAAATAAATTCAAACATGGGGTGGAAAAGACTAAATTATGATTTGACAATGCTCATAAGTCTCGTACACAATATTACATGGAAATCAATTATAAAATAACAGAAAATTGTTCATAGGTGTACTCTAACTCCATTGCATCCATAAAGATGTCATAATCATATTTACATTATTTGTATAAAAATTGGCAAATGATGATATTGCTCTTTATGTCCTAGGTTTGTTTGCTTAAGATTTGGGAAAACCACTTAATTGTAGTTTCACGATATTGTGCATTATTCAACCTAATATATATTTGGTATGCTATACATTCTGAAAAGCCTAATACTGTATACATATTGTAAAGCCAAATTTATGTATTGTACAGCTTATTATTCATTTTTGCAAAACCTGCTATGCATTGTTCTTTCAGCTATGGCTATTTTCTAACATCCCCCCTTGTTGAGGTGCTTTTGCAGTGGAGGTTATGTACTGGCTGATTGGCAGGTTCTCAGGTTAGGGCCTCATATGTTTTTGGTTGAGAGGCTTCCTTTAAGGCCAGTTTCTCAGAGCCATCTCCTGATCCCACACTCTAGCTAAGAATGAGATGATTGGCTTCTGGGGGGGTCCTTTGGTTATTGATTCATGGTTCATTCGGCCTGGGGTGCATTATTTGTTATGTATGGTTGTGGCTGCCCATCGCTACCCGCAAACTATCCAGGCTGCTTCGGGTTGTGTTATTTGTTGATCCAGCCCTCTCCCATTAGTGATTGGGTCTTCTGTTCTCTGCCTGGTGGGTTGCATTTTAGCATTCTCTATGATTAGTTAGCAACGGGGAGATATCTTTTGGCCCTCTAGAAAACCAGTGTTGTGTGTAATGAAATGACACTTCCTTGGAGGGAGTTTTGGTGGCTACCTGGGCCCACCCTCCCTGCCTCATGCATCAGTAGGTTTTCATTCAGCTCTGAGGGGTTTGGGAGCTGGAATGCAGCCACTCCTACAGTGCTTCCACCCAGTAGTGGTCAGTGTTAATTGGGGGGGGGGGGTGACCTCACTACTGGGTGGCTTGTTTTTTTTGTTTTTTTTTTTACTATATTTTGACCTTGTTTTTGTATGTTTTGTTTTGCTTCTATGGGGGCTATTTCAGCTAATGTATAGCAGTCTATAATATGCTGCTATCAATGTTTGTTTTACAGCTTCTCATTTACTTACAGATACATTGACTTTGTATCTTGTGGACACAGTTACTGGGGCAGTAATTGAATCTGTCTCTCACAAGAAAGTATCTGGGCCAATTCATATTGTCCATTCAGAAAACTGGGTTGTGTACACCTGCTTCAATGATAAATATCGACGTTTTGAGGTAAAGTAATTTCAATAGTATTATATTGTAAATTGTTATTCGGTATTTTTTCTCTATAATTTTAAATGCTGATATCCATATAAAACTACCTAAATCATTACCGTGAAATATTATGACAAACATATCAACCTGGAATCTTGTAAGTGCTTGATTTCCTTAGAAATGTGTAGATCCATAGACAGCCATACGTTTACCAGGTGTGCCTAGTCATGCAAATGCTTGCAAGATAGGTATAATATGCATTTCTTTGAAGGGGTAAAGTTTTGTAAATGGAGAAGTTCAGGTGCCTGGGTGTCTGCACTCTTCTTGCAAGCTTCAACTGTTATCATGAGTTTCGTGAATAGAAAACTTGCTTTCGGATGATACCTATATTAGAACACTCTAGAAACTTGTACAGCTTATGTCAGATCAGTCCTAGAATCAGCATCACTAAACTGGAATCAGTATCTAGTGAAGTACAAAAAAATTGAAAAGTTAGAGATTTACAGCAAGAGAAATGGCTGAACCAAGAGGTGTAATCTATGTAGGTAGGTTACAGTGTCTTGGTCAAGCAGAAAGTTAAAAAAAAAAAAAAAGAGGGACCAGAGGTGCTATGATAACTACAATGCAAAATATTGATGGGAATAAGCAAGGTGGTCAAGGAGAGCATATTTAAATAATGGGAAAATAAAACACTAGTGGAAAGTGGAAATACAAATGAGCCAGAGAGAGGCATGTAAATACTTGTATGAAGAAATGGTTTTCAGCATGTGTAATGCACTGAAAATAACAGGAATGACTTCAAAACCAAATATGAGTCTCTCATAATTTAAATGCAGCAAGTTCAGATAGCTAGGAAGAGAGGGGGAGCCTAGTAAATAACCACCTTAACCTCCTGTACTCATTACACTAACCTAAATTCATTACATTCACTGTCTTCATTACATACCCTTTAATCATTAAGAACTTAGCCCACATTACAAAACTGTATCCTGATGTTTGCCATCGTGGGAATACCTCTCTTGATTGGCTATGATGAAAACTAGTTATTGGTAGTTATTAAATCTTCAATAGATGTACTGTATATTAATTTAGAAGGAAAATCCAGCCTTTTGCACACAAGATTTCTGTTGAAACTTTCTAATAAATTAATTAAAATTTTCAATTTCTGTTGTTGCAGGTGACATCTCTGGAACTATTTGAAGGTTTGAGTCAAGCAAATGCTACGGCATTTTCTTCGTTTGCGGGTCGTGCAACTCCTCCAATCTTGGAGCGGCAGGCATACATCTTGCCTATGGGAGTACAAGCCACTGCACATACCACAACAGAGAAAGGAATTACAACTAAATTTATCTTGTTTGCTTTGCAATCTGGAAATGTTTTGCAGGTAGGTTTCTGATAGTACCATGCTGACTGTCTGAATAGGGTTGTGCATAAAAATCTTGTTTAATACAAATTAATATGGTGTCTAAAATTATTCACCCCATTATAATTATACTGTTTATGGAACATATTTATGGTTATGCAGCCTATTTTCATAATATCTTTGCCTCAATGCCTTACACCCTCCAGGGATCTCTATCAGGAAGTGACCACAGCAGAAGTTTCTTCAGTATAGCCTTTCTGGCGTTGAACATTCTTTTGATCAATACTGCACTTTCAAGTCCTCATCCTTACCCTGACCCTTTCTCTAATATAATATATTACTCTACTCTTCCAAAATACTGGTGATCTGACTCTTGCCATATGATCCCTATACTGTATTTCAATTTTGCATACATTTCTCGCCCAATAATTTTCCAGAACCCTACCAACATGTTCTGTTATATTTGAGCTGGGAAGGAAACACATCTTAACAGCATGTTTATTGTAAACACAAGCCCCTCTTACAGCTACAACATATACTATGTACAACATGCAACTACATGGCAGTGAGAAGAGAAGCAGAAATAAATTTTGAGAATGGGATAGCAGACAAATGTAAAACAAAACTAGGCCTAATCTATAAATTCATTAAAAGCAAATTGCAGGTTAGGGATAAAATTCAGAGATTGAAAATGGGAAACAAATTCACTGAGAATAAGAAAATGTGTGACATACTTAATGAACAGTTCCAAAGTGTATGTGTGCAAAATGAAATATTCAGAGAAACAGACACTAAAAATTCCAGAGAACAACATAGAGCACATAGAGGTGTTTAGAGACGAAGAACTTACTTATTACTTACGAAGTAATAAGTACTCGCAGTACTTATATGTGTCGCTTACCCCCGAAGGCTAGCATCTTCACAGCGGAACTTTATGCTATTCTCTATGTTCTTCGTCTCCTGCTTTCTTGTTGTCAAACTTTTTGTAGTTGTCATTGAGTCTCGTAGTGCCCTCATGGCTCTCGGGGCCCTTTAATCCGCTTCATCCAGTGGTTGTCGAGATGCAGCATTGGCTGTTTCTTATTCATGGTAAATTTAAGTTGATTGAGTTTTTCTGGTTTTCCAACCATATTGGTGTGTCTTTAAATGAGCGTGCGGATGCTGCCACCAGGGAAACGGCTCTGGTGAGGTTGTGTATTGGCCATACTCGCTTAAATCATGGTTACTTAAATGAGTGCTGCCCTGCTCCTTATTGTCCAAATTGCATTGTCCCCTCTTACGGTCGTGCATATCCTTGTTGAATGTCCTGACTTCCGGGACGAGTGTGTCTTGTTTTCCGACCGTCCCCCCTCGATCGCTTGTCCCTTGATAGAATTCTCGGTGACTCGGATACTTTTGATATTGTTCGCCTTGGGCGTTTCTGTTCTCGTATTGGCATCCTTGGTGATATTTAGCCCCCTCTGATTATTCCGCACGTTTGATGGTGCTACATAGCCTTCCCGGTTTGGTCCTTCTTTTGATAATTACTTGCTTACTTTTAAATACATGGATGTTGAAATACTAAAGAAATTGTTCATGACCTTTGTGAGACCACAGTTGGAATATGGAGTGGTTATATGGTGCCCATATCTTAAGCAGCACATCAACAAACTGGAAAAGGTGCAAACATATGCAACTAAATGGCTTCCAGAACTGAACGACAAGAGCTGCAAGGAGAGGTTAGAGGCATTAAATATGCTAAAGCTAGAAGATAGACGAAAGAGTCAATATGATCACTACGTACAAAATAGTAACGAGAATTGACAAAATTGTTAAAGAAGAATTCGTGAGACATGGCGCTTCAAGAACAAGAGGTCGTGGATTTAAGGAAAGTAAACAAAAGTGCTGATAAAATATTAGAAAATAAAAAGTGTAACTACTGTATACAGTAATGATTATGAACTTTGTGTCTGACATGCATGGAGTGGTGCCTGGGATGGCTGTTTTACTTGCGTGTGGGTCTGATCCACCTGTACTTGTTAAATTTTTAAACTTCACTTTTATCATATTTATTTTGAGTACAGTATTTTAACAGCAACTTACTTTATTGTTTATTGCCATATTGCATCAGTTCTTTATCTTGTGTATAAAATTAAATTTTACCTAAAGGAGTTATTATTTTCCATAAGGTTTGAAACCATATTTTACAGCCCTTGGGCCAGATTCATGAAGCAGTTACACAAGTACTTACGAACCTGTACATCTTTTCTCAATCTTTGGCGGGTTTGTTTACAATTATTAAACAGTTAGTGAGCTCCGAAGCACCAGGAGATTGTTTATAATAATAACAGTTGATTGGAACGTTTTCATGCTTGTAAACTGTTTAATAAATGTAACCAAAGCCGTCAAAGATTGAGGAAAGATGTACATGTTCGTAAGTACTTGCGTAACTGCTTCGTGAATCTGGCCCCAGGAAAATATCCCAATGTAAAATTGGTATCCTACTGTTACTAATCATGTATCATATTGTTAGTTTTTATATCTTGTTTGTCATTCGTGTGAAAATTAAAAATTTTTGTTTACACCAATTGAATTAAACTTGATATTCTCCAGATGTCAAAATGGTTACTTGATCCCCGTCGTCCTATGACTGGTGGGCCACGGGAGGAGGGCCTTATGCCGTACATGCCAGAATTGCGAATTTCACCACACGAGATGATCACCTACAACCATACTCTCCCTCGTATCTCGGGAATTTATACTTCTCCCACTGGACTGGAATCGGCTTGCTTGGTTCTTGTTTATGGTTTAGGTGAGTATGCATGATCTTTTTCCTTTAATTTGAATTTCATATTTTTATATTTATCATTAATTAGTAAGTTAATTAATCAACCAAAAATATTGTGAAGATTAGCTATACTGTACTTTTAATCTGAATTTCCTAAACTTAAGGTTTTCATAATTTTGAAAGAGTATTCATTTTCATAACTGTTATCTTAACTTAGGCTACTGTATATTACTTCGTTTTGCATAGATCTGAGCTCTCGTATTTTAATTTCATCCCTTCATTTCATGTTAATTTGTAATTAACTTGACAAAATTTTTGTTTTCTGGGGGAAGTCTTGGTTGGTCCCTGAAGCTTTCTTGCTTCAAGGACCAATCAGGTTCCTGAAGCATCATCAGATGCAAGAGTTCTGTTTGGCTTACAGGGGTCCAAAGCAAAAAAAAATCTGGCCCCTTCAGAGGGACACAGCAAGTGACCATTCACAACTACACTGGGAAAGCATTCAAAAAGTTATGTAAATCAAAGCTTAATTGTCTGTAAAGCTTTGCTTTACAGACAATGGAAGTGTTAACAGGACTGAAGCCTCAAAGCTGTCAAGAAATCCTCAAATTATTTATCAAGAACAAGAAAAACATTCAAAATTAGCACAAAACTTGTAATACCAAATGTCGGCACTAGGTGGCTTGGCTTCTCCCCCACAGCCATCCTTGGGGCTTTTTTTTCACTAATGTCCACTTGGATAGTAGTGTTCTAGGTCTCTCGGATGTGGCAAGTCCCTCTGCTTCAAGCCAAGTGCTGGCCATGCTTGGACTTGTTCTTACAGAGGTTTTTAGCTTTGTACTTTGTTTTGTAGTTAAGTATTTTGTTTCATGTGTGGGCTTGGCTTTGTTGTGCTTCAGATTGCATGCACTCTGAATGGGTTTTTCCCAGGGTGCTTGCTAGCACTGTCCCTGTACTGACAGAGAGATACTTTCTCTGGTGTGTTCAGAAGTTCACCCTTGAAAGCCAGGCCACCAGGGTGAAGAGCCTCTTATAGGGCTCTTCAAGGGTCTTGTCTCCTCTGTTTAGACCCCTTAGGCTAGAGGCATTGTTGATTATGCAGAGGCATGCTGGGGTTTGCATGTTTGTTTATATGACATGTTGAGGACAGCAATTATAGCCTGGTTGTTTTTGCTACTTTTTGGCATCAATACCTGGGTGACCTGCATGGTTAGCTGTCTTCTGGCACTGGTAATTCCTTTATGGATCTTTGTCATGGTTGGTTCAGTCTGTTGAGCCCTTAGCAGTTTGTTTCCTCTGGGTCTCTGCATTGACTGATTCCGCTTCCAGTTTAGTAGCTTTCATGCAGCTGCCACTTTGTTAGGTAGGCTTACTAGGGTTTGACATACACAGCAATGTAATCGGTTAGATGCCCTAAAAATGGCCCATGTTGTGTTTAGGTACCTGGAATTAAAGATGTTAGTGATGTCCAAGTCTGCACCACCTCTTCTTTTCCCCATTTCTTCTTTCTTTTCATCATATTTCTTGGCGATCATCTTCCTACATTTCTTCTTTGCCAACCTGTGTGAATTTGCTTCAGTACTTCCTGAATTCGAATCTCTTTTTCATTGATGGGCCCGGCCTCTTTTGAGAACTGGTCCATTTCTGCATATTGGCTGCAGTGTGAGGTTGGATTTGTTGTTAGAATTTGTTAATCCTAATTTTTATAAAGTTAATGCAAACTTGCAAGTGTTTAGCTTATTTCTCCTAAGACTAACTTTTATCGAAGATGGTAAAATCAAATTTTTAATGATTTATTTTTTGTTCACTTTATGAAATTGTCTTTTTCAGATTTATTTTACACACGGGTGTTCCCAAGCAAGATGTTTGATGTCTTAAAAGATGACTTTGATCACTACTTGATTAGTGGAGCTCTTCTGGCACTAGTTGCTGCAGCTCTAATCACAAGAAAATTGGCTCAGAAAAAGGCACTCAGACAGGCATGGAAATAATATTCATATCCATAACTGTGGGAAAAATACAGTGCAGTATTGACTTTTGTAATAATTAATCTGATAAAGAACTAATGTTAGATATGTACTTCGAGCATATTGTGATGCTTGATTATCCATCACATCCCTGTAATGAATTTAATTCTTGGTGTCAAGTTATGAAAGATAAAAAGTACTTTACTCAGTTCACGGCTTGATGTAACAAATTCTAGGTAATGTGCTGGGTGTGTGTATATTTATATAAAATCATTCTAGCTTGTATAGCTGTTGTAAGTAATTATTGAAACGTGCTGTGCTAAAATATGTACACAGTTTTAGTGTGTAATAGGTAGTTTCGTAATAGCTAGGCACTTATTCTAACTTTATATGGTTAATTAATTCTTGAGTTTATGGTTATCTACACGGTGTAAAAATATTATAATATCGATAAACTTGAGGGAATACAATTTTTTTTTTTTTTTGAGGGGCGGGGGCATAAAAAATGATCAAAATGTATGTAATATATTATTTTAGTTAGAAATTTAAATGTTTAATGTATTATGTACATGTGCATTACTGGAAGTTTTAGATTAGGATTATAATGTACTTTATTTGTTGTAATTATCTAAAAAAATTTGTAAATATTTTCAAGGCACTTAATAAATGATAAATGCTTGAATGTATTCCACTATTGTGTTGTAACTTATTACAAATTTAAAAGGTATTAGTACTGAAATCAAAAGTAATAGTTTGCTTCCTAGAGAAGGTAAAGTTTGGATATAAATATATTACATGACTGTTACATTTAAACACTAATGCTTTGCATAATTGTACAGGGAGCAAGATCTAGCACTTGACTCTGCCTCCTAGTGCAGTGGTATAGTGAAGACGGTGCAAAAGAAGAAAGCCAAAAGGGTCATTCCATCTCAAATCACCAAAAAGTCACCTATGGCTCCCACTGACCCTCTCCAAATGCCATGAAATTTTGTAGTAAGATAGCCCTAGACCCCAAATGACACTGCAAAGTATTAGAGCTCGATCTGCTTTGGTTCTTAAATAACAGGTCCATATTCAATGGGCTCTCATCCCGTTAATGCATAAATACCACAAAAATGACCAACTTTAACCCTTTGTTAAATCACTTCTATTGCCTGTAGGAATGGTAAATTTGACATACCAGGACAACTTTTGGTGTAGAATGACGTAGTGTAATCGAAAAAGCAGTATGGGTGACCATTCAGCTATCCATCTATGCTAAAATCGCTGCCAAATTTTGTCTGGAGAAATTTGGACCCCAATTTGGAGACCACTTACTCATCAGCAAAAGGTCTAAATGCCATGATCTTTTGCAACTATGTATAACAAGCACAATATTATGCAGTGATGCAGTAGCAACTCTGTTGTATCCATATGTCCAGAGGTGTGTCCCAAAAATTTTTTTTTTTGCAAAACTAGCCAACTTTCAAGGCAAAATATCTCGGTATGCGTCATTCCCAATTTGGTTTTGAATGACGCCATTGGATAGAGCAGATTTTTCTGTACAAGAGTAACTTTTATTTAGGTTGGGATCTGAATTCCTACTTCAGCCAGAGGACAATGAAAATGACATACCTTGGTGCGATATCGAAAAAATCAAATTATGATTCTCCATCGTCTTTGTGCACTGATCATGACTTTTTTCCTTTCCACTCTTTCTGGGACACATTTGACTAAATTCTTCACCCTCAAAAACTGTACTACCCTTTCCTTCACTTCCTCAGGAACTGACTTGCCCTGCATTTTCTTAGGAATTGCTAGTATTCCCTGTTCTTCTTTCAGCTTCCTAGCTTCGCAAACCATGTATTCTGAAACTTTGACTTGTGCCATTGTCTTTTTGATAGACCAGCTTTGTGACAAAAGGGTTAGGATTTGTATGTTTTCTTGGCGCTTTGCTACATGGAATTTTAGCTTCATTGCTTCAATGAGTTTATTGAAGTCTTGGCAATTTGTGCATTGTTGGCTAGAGCTTGGTACCAACAGGTTTTGGCAATCAATATTTCCAATTGCAGCAATCTGCTCGGCAATTATTTCCTGTGCTTAGCTAATCTTACGCTTTGCATAACCATGCTTATCCCTTGCACTAACTCGTTGATATTTAATAGGCAAGATGCCTAATACTGATAAACTTGTGTTTACACTTTCACAGATTTCCATATTATCAGCAGGGCCATCAGATTCAGTAGAGCTGGACTCGCTTGCCTGCTTACTGTCGAATTCCTTTCTGCATGATGTGCACAACTTTTGGCCAGGCTTAAGACTGACTTTCAGCATATCTGACATTTTCTCAGCAGTAGCTACTGTGATTGGTGGCAAATCTTTTCGCTTTACATGACATTTCTTCTTGAAGGGATTGCAGCAAGTTTTTTGCAAAAATTCAAATTTCGTCAACAGCAAAGCTTCATGATGGAGGCATACTTGAGATTCTCTATCCAAGTTCAGTTCACTTTGCTATCAGTTTTTGATCTTCTGCACTATACTGTTTTAGAAACTTCAAGCCTTTGTTGGGAGTGTAGGTTGTCAAGTGACATTCAGAAGAGCCACGCTCATGGCTAGCAATAGCACATGGCAATAAACCAATGGAATCCTGATTCATGATGTATCTGTAATCGAATTCAAATCAAATTATTTAACTGAATATAGTACAGTAATTTCAAGCGAGACCTGTAATATATTAATATTGCTTTTTATTTGTGTATTTATTGCAAGTAAATACACAAATAAGTAAACAGCAATGTTTGACCTGCTGATACGATACTACAAAGATGTAAAGATAAATACAGAACAGGAACCTAAAATAGCACCGATTGTTTAATAATAATTCTGAATCCCACCCAAAAATGTTCTACCCAATGAAGCTGAAAATTTTTCCAATCAGTTTGGATATCAATTTGCTAGCAGTCATGATCAGTGCACAAAGAAGATGGAAAATCTTAATTTTATTTTTTTGATATCGCACCAAGGTATGTATGTCATTTTCAGAGTCCTCTGCCTGAACTAGGAATTCAGATCCCAACCTAAATAAAAGTTACTCTTGTACAGAAAAATCTGCGCTATCCAATGGTATCATTCAAAACCAAATTGGGACTTGTGCATATTGAGATATTTTGCCTTGAAAGTTGGCTAGTTTTGCATAAAATAAAATTTTTGGCCAACTTTCAAGTGGGCCACCTCTGGACATATGGATACAACAGAGTTGCTATTGCATCACTGCATAATATTGTGCTTGTTATATATTGTTGCAAAAGATAATAGCGTTTAGACCTTTTGGTGATGAGAAAGTGGTCTCTAAATTGGGGTCCAAATATCTCACGACAAAATTTGGCAGCGATTTTAGCATGGATTGGTAGCTGAATGGCTACCCAAACTACTTTTTTGATTACATTGCTGTATTCCGCACCAAAAGTTGTCCTGGTATGCCAAATTTCACACCTCTCTGGGCACTAGACGTGATTTGATAAAGGGTCAAAGTTGGCCCTTTTTACGATATGTACGCATTAACGGGATGAGAGCCCATTGAACATGGACCTATTATTTAAGAACCAAAGCAGATTGAGCTCTAATATTTTGCACAACTTCATTTGGGATCTAGGGCTACTTTATTACAAAATTTAATTAGATTTAGAAAGGGTTGAGTGGGAGGCCTTTGGTGAATTCACGTGGAATGACCCAAAAGTAATAAAAAGTGTGTAATGAGTGGAAGAGGTTAATACTATACTGACAGGAAGGATTATTATAAGACTTCAGAAAGGACAGATTTAGAAAAGTAGCTGATGTATATGAAATAGGTACTATAATGAGGAAAAATGAGAAATGGGTTGTAAATAAAATAATAAATTTTGTATGCAAATTACTGTACAATAAAACTGGTCCCTAAAAAAAAAAAAAGAGCAATAAGCATCAGTGATGGAAGCTGCAAAAAAAAAGAGTAATTGAGAAACTTAACTAGAATGTTGCTAAAACTACAGTTGCAAATTCTACTTAAGGGTGGGGGGAGAAGGTGGGGATTTGCCACCTGTAAGTAGGAGTGGGTGGCTCCCCCACTCCTGCAGTGCACAAGCAAAAATATGTTCCCATATGAGAACCTGTGCATGCACACCCTTATGTTCCTTCATGTGGGAGTTATTGTGCCAGTGGTTGCAGCCCCTGGGGTGAAAAGTACTACGTATTTAGGTAAGGGGACGGGTAAAACGAGATTCAGTGTGGCACATCTGAACCTATCGACTAGTCTGGTTAGCCTGCCTAGTCAAACATTGGGTCAAGTGGGCATTGTGGGATTGGTATCCCTATTGATCCTTGGAATGCTATTCGCCCCCCCCCCCCTCCTCAATGGTTATCCACGTATAATGTGCCGGCAGTAGGCATGAGGGAAGTCTCTGGTAGGATTTGGGGGCAGGGTGTAAAGGAGATTCGGATGAGTGAGGGAATATGCGGGGACATCATTACTGAGGTGATGAGGGCTGGTGACAGGGTGCCACCTGATCACCACATGTTACCAGCCTCCATTAATCATTATAGGTAACAGAGGCATCATTAATAAACTCTCGTGGAAACGCACACGGTGTCTGGTGCTGTCGCGTCTTCTGCTTACCCAGGGAATCTCGTGTTACCACCAGTAGGTTACTCTCCAGCTCTTGGGCCCCTGCCTCTTTGCTTCAATCGTGTTGTGAAGCAACTCTCAAATTTCCTGTGTTTTGTCTTGTCCACTCCTGAAGCTGTGAATGGAGTTGGCCTCCACCATGTAGCTTCTACCCTAATTCACTCTGCTGAAGGAATATTTCCTTATGTTCATATATATATATATATATATATATATATATATATATATATATATATATATATATATATATATATATATATATATATATATATATATATATATATATATATTAAAAATAAATAAATAAAAGATTTTTCGCTCCATCAGTGTAGTATGCTTGTCTCGGGTGTACTGAGTTGGCCTCAACCACGTCTTTATATAATTCATTCCATTTATTAATAACAAATGTGTTTGTCCTGCTGTCTCTCACTTTGAAACATTTCTTCATAGTCTACTTTGTTAATTCAGACTAGACATTTAAGATTCATCATGTCTTTTTGTTCATTTCCTCCAGTGTGGCGAGGGAGAGATCCCGTAACCTTTCTTTGTATATTAGTTCGGTTAGATAATAAGCCAGCGGCTTTCTAAAGGTCTCTCCATTAATCCTAAAAATGTTTGGAACAATATATGGACAGCACAGTGGTGCCACATTGCGATGTGAGGTGAGCATCACATGTGATTCAATGCTTTGACACTCAAAAGAATATTATAATAATAATATTGTTACATAATATACACAGGCAGCATATTCATTCACTAGGCGGCTGAAAGAGTCTTGGTAAACCCTTCTCATTTATTGAAGACCTTGCTTAAGTGCTTAACAATATGGCACAATAACTTCAAAGAAAAAAGTATAAAATCGGAGCACTCATTTCCTACCTTTTTATCTTGTGACAAATAAAAGTCGGCCAAAGGAATTTTATCCTTTTTATTGACACCTGCACAAAGGCACTTGTAAAGAATAGAGAATTTTGTTTTCCTATCACAAAAACAGCCAAGGTTAATGAACTCGAAATTACCAAAGAACGTGATAATTCTACTCGTAAG